ACTCAACCGAGGATTCCTATCATTGTCATGTTAATGTGTCGAATACCAGCTAAATGGGGGTCGAATACGCATCACTTTCACAAAATGAACAAAGTTCTGAAGCGAAACGGCCCATTAGGCGGTTCGGAAAGAGATATTAGGCTATTTTACTGTATTGAAATTTACCTCCGCTACCCTGGGGATATAGCTTTCCTCGACCCAGTTGCTGGGCTTTTAATCAACGCCACCCTCCGAGATTTGGGACCTCTTAATGTCAATTTAATAACGTTTTCAATTGAGCTTCAAATTTAAACATGAGGTTATCGTTCCGAAACATTGAACCTTGTAGACAATAAGCAATTTAATAAAGTGTATTCTTGGATTGTTTTTTCGGCGTTTTAATTAAGTTACGGTTTGTTTACATAGGCCATATTACGGCCAGGAATATTATGTGAGAACAATGGAAATTGTCTTAGTCGAATGAACGCTGTCATTACTGCAGTGGTTTTGTATGATAGTTCAGTATAACGGTTACTTTTAGATTTTAATCCACTTTAAAAAGATTCTTTTCTCAACTTGACCTACATTAGTTGGGTTTTGTGATGTTTGTGTACATGTGACAGCATTTTGGTTTAGTATGTTCGTTTATCTTCAAATATAAATATACCTAATTTGAAAGAACACATCGAATGACGATAGAAAAATAGTCAATTAACTGAGCAGTATTTCATGGGAACATTGAAATGATTCGTCCGAACACTCAGACATTGTATAGTTGTGTAGTATATTTTTATTCCTATGTAGGTATATTTCTAAAAACAGGTGTAATAATCCATAGACAACTGCATCACAAGTCAGCTACGTCCCTAGTAAAAAAAAAAAGTTAAACAAAGCTATATAAATAAACAAAGGAGTACGAATGCATTTGTACGACGCCAAACAAGTTTCTTTACATGTCAATGAGGAAGAAATTTACATACGGCGCCGGTCTTTTGCGTGTTACACACTCTTTAAAAGGGTAGGTATTCAGAGTTCGAAATATGGTATAAAGTCGTTGTGTTGTCGGAAGATACAAGTGAGTCACTGCGACGGTTGGTGTCCTTGCTAACCGTCGTTCTGCGTTTAAAGGATGACACACCCACACAAAAACTTTCTTATTGGTTGACAGTTGGCAAATTGAAACTGGTTTAACGGTCGCAATGATGACAAATTGCGAATTTGTGGCATGGCGTGCAAATTACTAAACGTTGTTATGTTTTTACCAAACTATAATTAACAATTAGAAGTAATTTAAGAGGTCATTCAACATCTAAACAAATAAATAAAATTGAAGTGTATGTTTGTAATGTCAAAATTATAGGTTTTTTTTCATGATCACACGGTTATTTACACGATACCTATGTCTAAAAAACAAGTTTTTTTTTGTGTGTCTGTCTGTTTTTTCGGGTATTCTTATAAACGGCTTGACTGATTTTGATAATACTTATCTACCAGGTAGCTGTCTACATAAGGAATAACTTAGGCTATTTTTCCTATCAGAAAAACCCTTTAAAATTTTGCCCGGTTCGGGGTCGAACCTATCCACGGGAACGAAATCGCGGGTACCAGATAGTTGTAATATAAGATTGCTCGTTCAAACAGTAAAAAGTGTAACTGATAATTTAAGCACCAGTGCTACATCCTGGAAAAGGCGATTAAAAGTCCGTATGACCATAAACTGCTATCCATGAAGTTCAGAGGAGTTTATTTACCAGCAAAACACTGAGTTAGAAAAGCTTTTTTAAAACGGTAGTCTTCCTGTACCTTCTGGGCCTTTACATTAAGTTAGTGATGTCAGTACCCCAATGGCAATGCACAAAATTTGCGTTTATTCAACCACAACACGGTAGAATAAGTATGAATAAAAAACAATATATATGTTTACATTTGGTTTTACAAAAAAGAAGGACAGACTTGCCAAGCATGACATGCTATCACAACTATCACTCCCAGGGTATCGCCATCTTATTTTCTACTAGAACTCAATTAATTTGGTAACTTTATAGGATATGTAATCAGTAAGTACCCAATTATAATTATGACGGGCCTGTTGGTCTAGTAGTTAGTGACATTGACTGCTAAACCGGAGGTCGTGGGTTCGATTCCGACCCAGGACAAATATTGTGTGATGAGCTCGGTCATTTGTTCTGGGGTGTAATTTATATATAATATGTGTGTATTTAAAAATAAATATGTTTATCAGCAGTCTGGTTACCATAGTACAGACTCTGCCAATTCCAACTCCTCCAATTTTCTTCTGATTAATTTCGTTGCGGGTTCCAAGACAGTTTAATTTCTTCCTGGGACGTCCCGAGTGTCATAACTCGGTGTGTTCGTGGGTCACTGCTGTAGATCCTGGTGTACAGGAGTTACAGTGGTGGGCGTGTGGGTGGGATTAGTCCCATAAAAAAAAAAAAAGTACAGGCTCTGCCTAGTTTGGGATCAAACGGCCGTGTGTGATGGGAGATAATATATATTATTATTAATTTCACATTAATTGCCAACGTCCGAGTTTAGACCGGTAATTATGTTAATCAGTATCTATAGAAAGGTGACCTGAGGCTCATCCAGTCTATCTAGTTTACCATCACACATTTTAAACAAAAATAAAATTATCGGTTCAATTACTTGCTCATCCAACCTGAATACTACATTAACACAGCTACCTCCATACAAAATTTTTGTCAAAATTGGTCCAGCCATTTGAGCGTGAAGAAGTAACAAACATACCAACACACACACAAACTTTCGCCTTTATAATATTAGTGTGATGGCTAATCTATTGCACAAACATACAAGGCCCCAATGGGAGCCAAGACTTGACTTGACCACTATAAAAAAAATATAAATATCGTTTTCTCAAACAAGGATGTGCTTACGCCTAATTGCATACCTGTGCCCACTCAAACCTCATCAGCTTTGTAGTCCTTATTCATCAGTAGAAATACAATCTTTAGTTGGTACTTAATTAACTGCAGTCCTTTAATACGTTGTGTTCTGGCTACTGCTAACCTTATTACTCTAGTCAAGGAGCTGTAGCATGTCCCACTTATCAACAGGAACCATTATACGACTAAACCGAATGGATAATACCTTCGAGACGTGTGCGCCGCCTATGACTTATCCCCGGTTATAAGAGATAAGAGATCAAGGACCAGTGTGAATTATTTGAACCTTATTGTTAAATATAAACGTAAAACTTAGCCTTCTTAGTTTAAAAAAAAAAGCATAAGAAATAGTCCGGAGGACATCCTTAGTTATGCTCAGCTTTTACAGGAGTGTTACAGGTTATTTAACTCAAAAAAATCCAAATCAGACTGATACAACTTGATATTAACACTAAAAACACTGCTATTTTCGTATAGAGAATAAACAGAGTGCGAACAATAAATACCGCAACATATAATGAAAATTAAGCAAAACGTCACTTATGTTACTAAAAAAACATTGACCCTGATTGACCAATAGAAAAATAAAAAAAACCGGCTAAGTGCGAGTCGGACTAGCGCACGAAGGGTTCCGTAACATTTGTATCATCTTTAAAAACGGCAAAACAATCACGTTTGTTTTATGGGGCTGCCCTTTAATATTTATTTTACGGTTCATGAAATACAGCCTGGTGACAGACGGACAGCGGAGTCTTAGTAGTAGGGTCCGTTTTACCCTTTGGGTACGGAACCCTAAAAAAAACATTGCATCTGATCTAATCACTATTTATTAAAATTTGCTATCCCCAAACCATAAATTTGCTTCATATTTTTTAATAAGTTTCGATCCAAACCGTTCGTATTATGTAGATTTAATAATAATGAAGTTGCCCCAGATGTCCATAAATCAGTATACCTATAAGAGTGCAACAGATGTCTGTTGAAAGCTCTACAGTAGGCAAAATAAACATAACATTGATAACAAGTAGGTATTCAAATTACTATTAATGGTTTATAATTATGTAGACATTTGTGACATAATAATAAAATAAATATAATGTAGGTACGATGAGTTCTTCGAAAACTCAATTAAAAGTCGTTTCCAGAAAAGTTTCTAAAAACTTATTAGGCGCATATTTTTGCCGTATCTATAGAATAATAGACCAAACCTATACTTGGATAAATCAAGCACACAACAAACACACGTAAAACGTTGATCCCAGCAGTACCTAATAAATACCCAAATAAATAGGTATTTCTTGGGAATATTTACCCAGTGTTGTATTTTTCTAATGTAATAGGTACCTTTAAACGAGCGATTTAGTACGCAGGGGTTTTGGGAGCGATAAATCGATCTAGCTAGGTTTCATTTTTAGTAAATTTACAAAAAGAAAATACCGAGCAGAGATCGGTCATCCAGGTAAGCTTTAAACACAAAATTATACTCGGGCGTAGTTTCTTTGTACACAAACACAACACAATACAGTATTATTTTTTATCAATGCTTTATATCCAAAGAAAAAAAAACATTTTGGTAACTGAATCACTATAAACGGCTGGACCGATTCAAATATTAGAAATGTATTGATAACTGAATAATGTGTCTTTTGTATTGAATTAAAACAAATTAATTCTAAAACAAAATGTAGGTACTGAAAAAGTTAAAAAAAGCTAACGTTCCGATCATGAACGGACCGTCCAGGTTCCGCTTAGATTCTTATAGGATGGACAAAAGCCATCTATTCTTCTATACGATGAAAATGTATTCCATTATGCAGGTACAAAAGAAATGTCTTTGTGTTATTTTATCGGTCGGTTCGTATTCGTAAAATAAAAAGGTGGAATAACGAATTGTGTTATCGTATTACAAATTATTTTAGAATAAATTTTTTAGGTTTTACTTTCAAAAGATAGAGAGAAGAAATTAAGAAATTTTAACACAATTATAGGTTCTCAAGTTTCTTCTATAATGGCAAACATTTGTTGATAATCCTGCGTCTATGCTAATATACTATGGAAAAAATGTAATATTTAAATAAACCAAAATAAACTTACATTTAGCGGCTTCGACTTCCATGGCTTGTCTTTGCTGAACTCGATAAGTAACAAAGGATTTCTTAAAAGCAACACGTCTGCTGTACACAAAGAGTGAACACGTTTTACTTAAATCCAACCCGAAACTAAAACTATATAACACCTTGAAGCCGTTGAAACAGTTATTTTGAATTAAATTTAAAGTAAAGAAAGACAGGATATGAGACAATGGTAGACGTTTAGTTCATAAGTGTTGTTTATTTGCGGTTCTCCTTTCCTACGACAGCTTGACAGAAACCTTAAATGCGATGCGTTGATTGGCCTAAATCAAATTTACCGCTTTAACGTTCGATTTATCGACCAGTGATCTAGGAAGCCGCGGTGACGTAAATAATAATGTTGCAAGAATGTAAAAATATTGTGGTTTATAGATTTATTATCCATACCACCATGCATACCCACATGCCATCAAGACATTAGAACCAAATATTATTATATTTTTCATATAAATTGTGAAATATTTATATAACAAAAATAGTTCTAGTTTAAACACAATATTACCGGCTTGACGACGGGTAACGCCATCTAACGAGCGCTTCTAGAACAAGACTAAAGTTTAAGAAAAGAAACTGACAACAAAAAAGAATTGGTTATTTTAGTGATTATTAAATCATACCCTGCAATGGTATTATTAAAGTGTAAAATATGTGCGTCTGTTTACCACTAAACTTCGAAATGTAGCTTATAATTATGTACAAAGATTCGACGACAAACTAACAAGAGTACCTACCTAGTACTGAGTACTGTTAAGATAAAGCATTGAGTTAAAACAACAATTATTAAGTAAGTATTATATCAATGAGATAAAGAGACTCTTTCTATTTAAATGTCATAGTCAAGTTTGAGTTAACATAATCTATTTAGAAACCCTCTGGATTATGCTTTCGGTGGATGGGACTAGCGATTTTTCGACTGGTAAAAAACTTTCTTAAAAGATGTACGCCTATTAATATTTGAATGAAAAAAATCTTCCATTTTATACATATAACTTTAATAAATTAACAATTTACTATAATTATTCACTATGTCATGACCAAATAAATAAATATTTTGTATATAAATGTTAAATATATATTTCCTACTCGATACCAACATTGATTATTATAAGTGCCTCAGGTTTATTTACAAATATATTGTTTCCAATGGACTCCCCATTGGAAATTTATTTTTATTTTATTAATTTTAAACTCCTATCCTCAAAACATTTGGTGTATTGTAATTTTAATCCAGAGGACGATAAAACCTTAGGGTCAGGTTGACCTAGACGCTGATGATGCTTAGAGAGAATCAGCGCGTCAGGGGGATACACTACAGAACTGCCTTCACAACTATTAGAAATACGTAATACCTTTAGAAATATTGCTATTACATTTTGAACATACTTGGTGTACCTATATCCAGATACAAACTTATGAAAAGCTACTTTAAAATTAGCAACATAAGGGTGTATTTAGTATATTTATAAATGGTCTTATGACGAATATATGAATGTAAAAAATGATTTTCGTTTTATTATCTGCAACTGGTGACACGCAATTTCGGGCAGAATACAGTTAGTGGTTATATTCTCAGTTTTGTGTCATGCATCATGGCTTCACGGTGTAATCTGACCTTTACATTAAAATTAAAATACAACTAGCCAAACAAAAAAAACAATATAAAATTACTTAGAATAAACAATAATATTTTTCTGTATATTCACTGAAAATCCCAAAGGAAAAGATCGTTTGACATGAACTTTGACACATTTGCATAAACGCGGTACACACAAAAAAATGGAACGGCATAGCTTACTTAGGTAAAGGTACTTCACTGAAGATGTTTTAATATCAGCTGTTCCCGGACCCCTCCTATGTCAGGCGCGGAATGGCACACCGTGTGGCCGGTGGGGTGACGGTCTGATGGGGTTACCACAAGTTACACGTTAAAAAAAAAAACTTCACCGAACACTAATAAAATATTTGTTATCCTGTTAGTTGAAAATTATTTTCTACTGTTTGGCCAGTCTGTAATTTATTCACGACATATCTATAATAAATATTATAGAGCTGAAGAGTTTGTTTGTTTGTTTGAACGCGCTAATCTCAGGAACTAGGTACTGGTCCGATTTGAAAAATTCTTTCAGTGCTAGATAGCCCATTTATCGAGGAAGGCTATAGGTTATATATCATCACGCTAAGACCAATAGGAGCGGAGCACCAATGAAGAATGTTTAAAAAACGGAGAAAATTTATTACTATTGAGAGACGCAGACGAAGTTGCGCGGGTCAGCTAGTCATTAATACTAGTTTTAATTTAAAATCAGACGATAATGAACTCAGGCATTGTTTCTTAACACCGCGTAATTGTACAGACAATCAAACAATTGAGTGAATATTATTCTGAGAGCTGGTGAACTGTTTTGGACAGGTTCTTGAGTTTCTCTATTTTTTAAATCCTTAAATATCTAACGTAAAGATATAAAAATTTCAAAATGCTCTTTTAAATAATTTAAGGATTATTAGCGGGCCGCTACCCTTTAGCCAGACCTCGACTGTCTTGTTTAGGGGTTCTTCAAGGACAATAAAAAAATAATTGTAATGACCTAAGAACCGAACCAAAATCGGTCACCAGCTCTCGGAATATTAGCATAGAAGTCAATATAGAAGTGTTACCTCTGCCATCACATGTTAAGATGATTATGACATGATATGTTTCACATCAATTTTTTAGTTCAATATATTATTATAGATAGAGGAAACATAGGAGGATATTTGTGTAATTTTAATATGTTGTATTCACAGATATTTTTGATTAACAGTGTACTTTGTGGGATATAATTGTATAATTATAACGTATCCTGCTACGCATGTAGGTTATATAGGTACATAATATATCATTTATCGGGCAACACCGCTCAAGTCGAAAATTGGCGGTTCTTTTTTATGTCATTTGAGAAACCTACTTAAGCTGCTTTTCCCACCACGTTTTACCACATCATCATCGCATTATAACATTGACGTTAATTATGATCCTAGAAAGGAAGATTCCGCCTTTCTAAGGAGAGGCCTATGTCCAGCAGTGGACTATTAAAGGTTGTTGTAGATGATGATGATGATGATGATCGTAGAGAACATTTTAACTAAAACTAACTAATAAACTTTTGAAATTTATAAATTAAGCAGTTTTTTCCTGTAAAGTCAGTGAAAATTGTTAGGGCGGTGTTATCCATAAGCGATTACTGCTGTCTGCAGTCTACTGCCACATCATGTCTTCAAGAAACATGCATAAATCAAATAAATAAATAATATCACATATGAAGCAAAACTGAAGAAACTTATTTGGGGATTCACCTCTCATTCTAAAGGATTACAATAAAAAAATATACAATTTAAATATATTAATTATAATATTAATTTGTTGATATCATGAGTTAAAATAATAATACATTTTCTATGACACTTCGTTAAAAAGTTCAACATTTTTTCAATTATTAGACAACAAGACTATTCGTTGTCGTACCGAACCTATATGAAAAAATATTTTTTTCTCTTTACAATACTGGTTAATAACTTAATATAATTAACAACAATTAATTTGTTATGTTTTGGTAAAACCCTAACTAAAACTGTTACTCTTAACGTAATATCAAATTAATGTAGATACTTGGACCATTGATATGTCCAGATGAACTGTCACTAAAAAGCGCGAGATTTGGACGAACACCAGTACACATTTTCACGCATGCCAACTTATTTTCGCTGTTGTTCTCTCGTTTGTTTTAGTTATGTAGTACGATACTATCTAGACATAATAATATTCCAAGCAAATGTACATGAAATAAAGTATCAGCACCGACCTTGGAGAAGAGTGAGAGAGCCAGGCGCCGGGTAGCAAACGTCGCTAAATGTGAAAATCTATTTCCTGATGCGATGCGCAATCGGCCTTCAATTAGTTATTATTACAACATTTTCTTTGGTTTGATTTTCACTTTTAGTGACCCCAATTATCGATATCCAATATCGGTAGAAATTTCTCTAAGTATGTTAAAGAATTAGGATTATAATAATCACAACTGTTTAACTTAGCTTAAATCGAATAAGTGTTGCCATTTGTAGTGGAAGTTGAGGTTTGAAAATTTGGTATTTAAAATGTATGTAGGTAAATAAACTATAATACATATTAACTTTTCAAATCACACTTTATCATCAAAGGCGGGCGCTGCAAAACATTTACAAAGCAATGGCGGATCCACTGAAGGGGGATCATGCCTCCCTCTTGGGCTGGGTCTAGATCGTAAAGTTTCAAGTGGGTTATCAAATTAGAACTTGTCGTGAGCTCTGAGACTTTAAAAAATTAGTCCACCCAGTTAAAAGCTGGACCCCTCTTTGTCTTTTGAAAAGATTCTTAAACATCTGGAAGTTTTAAATTCTCTTGCAAATTTTCACATGTAGCGTTCGTATACGAGTATGTTGTGGATAGTATAACAATGAAATGACGGAAACGTAAGATCGGCCCAAGCGAAGCCGCTTATCTAAAAAGGCAATAAATACTTAAGCAAACTACTTTTAAATATAATTAATTTTTGTGTAATAATACGAGAGCCAAATTCATTTATGCAATAAGTGCAAAACGTGTAAGATTATTACAAAGACTATAAATAGAATGAGATTTCTTGGAAGCAACAATTTTAAGTAGATACAAAGTTGTATCTTCACTATTTAACGGCGAAACATGTAATTATAAAAGTAAAAATATTTCCTACAAACCCTAATGGAAATTTTTGAGTATTTAATATTATTATAAACGTATATGTACGAAATGCGTACTAAACAACTTTATTAGAAAAAGAAAGCATTCAATGGGGCTAATTTTGAGGTTATGCGTCTTTTTTCCAGTAAAGTGTGTCATTTATGGTATAATTATCTAGAAAATATTAAATCACTATGGTCATTTACTAAGAAATGGTATACAAACTGGGCCTTCTTTTTATCTATGACCTGCTTGTTTATCCGTGATTGCGGTTCCTGTATTTGATTAGGATTATCCCTGAGGAAAATGGCTCCAAATAATGTTGACAATGTTTTTGAATCTAATCCATTTTCAGCACTGTGTTGCAGGGCTTCTTGTAAAAATTCACATAAGTACAAAAACACATTTTTCCTAAATTCTGGCAACTCCATTACAATTTGTTTGCATTGTAAATAGTTTGCAGATGCTCTTAAACATACTGACTGAAGATTGTAGGGAATAATTGGGTCTGCAGTGCTCTCTAGAAGCAATAGCAATGCTTCAGCAACAGAATGAATACTTCCAGGTATAGGATCTACAGACCCATTGTCAAGCCAATCTCGGATTTGAAGTATTTCTGAGTGAAACCCTGGTTGCTCAAACAAATTGGGTTCTTTCAACCCATGAAGGTAGATATGGTCTACTAGGAACCAAATTTCTTTTGGTATGGAGTATGTGGACTGGTTAGAAACACACTGATCTCTCTTATTTTCTAACTCTATCAGCTTTCCTACAGGTACTTCTTTTATTGGCATGTTAAGATTCACTAAAACCTCTATCGAGCATCCAAAACTGCTTCTTTGGTATGTACCATTTATAGTTATAAATATATCCTTTCCTCCGTACAAGTGTAATACTAATATATCATATAACTTGTCAGTGCCAGCATTCATCTTACAAGCTGATGTCTTATTTATAAGCACTTTGAGTTGAATTTCACATGTCTCTTCAGCACAAATACACTTCTTATATGGTTCAACTATAAGCCACTCCTTACAAAAACTTGCTTCATCTAATTTCTTAATGAATTCAAACTCAACAGGGAGCTTACCAATGTTTGTGATTGTGATAGTACGTACTTGCAATTCTAAATACTGTACTGTACCAAAGTCTATTTCTGTCCTGTCAACTTTGACCTGTGGTATCAGTTCATTTTCCATTTTATCTAGTTGCTTGATAACTTCTTCATATACTTTCCTATATTTCTCTTCATCTATTATTTTTATTGCTGAGTTAAATATGGCTGACACAGGTTTGTGATCACTTATGTTCAGTGATGGATGGCTTCTGTAAGCGAGTTGAACAATTTTATCCCCTTTCCAGAATATTCTATCACACCAAGCTGGCGCTCTATTTTTTTCACTAGAGTCCCAGTTATCTGTTCCAGGATCATACTTGTATGTTGGTTTGAACATAATATCCCCCTCTATATATCCTGCAAAGACATTATTACACTTATGCTGTTGTTTCAGCTGATCCCACTCTAAAACTGGGCCAAAATCATTATTATTCACAAGCTTTTTTACAGTTGTAGGGTCTAATTCTGTAATACGATAGTTCAGATCTCCCAGCCAGTATATGTGATCATGGTCTTTTATCCCTTTTGGGAGTTGGTTAGGCTGAATAAATCTTGTCCTGTTACAAATATCTCTGAAATCTTGATTTCTTCGCTCATATTCTTCAACATGAGCAGCTAAATGTGAGTTGACGAAACATAGTGAGGTGCTATGGAGATCAAACCTTATTGAAACTCCACCTTTATTGCCCATCTTGCCCATAATGCCTGTTCCGACAGTATCACATACAACATTACGCACATGAGACAAATGTTTTTCCTTGATGAGGATGATCAACATCATACCAACTAATCTCACTTTCTCTACTTTCACATATTTTGCTCTTTTATCAACATAATTTATTACAGCATTGTACCACTCATCTTCTCTCATAGTTTGGTCAAATAAGAAAGTTTCTTTAGATAGATCAAGTTCTTGAAAACCAACAGCATATATATCAGGAGGTTCCTTGTCAATGCTCAACCAGCCCTTAAGAGGGATAACAGGAGATTTATCGTTCACATTCCACGTACCACAAAAAATTGTAAACCTTTTCGTAAAAGTGTACTCATATTCTTTATCAGACATCTTGTGTTTGATTAGACTTTCTCTTATAGCTGGTGCAGAACTTTGGGTATGTGGGACTCCTCCAGGCAGCACCATAGTGTGAGTTAAGATGTCATTGTCATTTCTACCATGATATTTCTTTAGCCACACAAACTCAGGTTGTGTTGGCACGTTGTTAACAGCTTCTATTCCTCTAAATAAATCATCAACAAAATTGTCAACGCGCGGAGTCATTTGAATTTCAAATTTATACTTATTATTTCGAGACTGGAGGTTCAGGTACAGGATGGCTTCAGGATCGGAAGGTTTGTTGTCAATTTCACATTTAAAACTCTTATCTATTGGTAATACTATCTCTATAGATAAATCCGTAAAAGATTTCGGCGGGTAACATGACGTAAAGAGGCAGAATACAGCCTTTTCGTCACCAAACTCAACAATTGCTAATAGACGATCTTTTTTCACCCAGTCAGGATGCAAAACTTTGGCGTCACATAGAAAAGCTGTAACTCGTTCGCTCGATAAGAACTTTTCCTGTACCACAGATTTTATCTCGTCGTGATTCATTGTGTTTCATCAGTTTATTTTAATCCGCTTAACACATAACAAGAGGAAACCCTTTGATAATATTCATTTCATATGAATACAATTTTATTGACAGCTTTGACGACTTTTGACAAGTCTGACTGACATATTGACCAAGTTTCGTTTATGATTTCAGAAATAGTGAACGATAGATTAGGTGTTAAAACAACTGTCTTGGCTAAATTTGAAAAAAATATGTTATTTTATTTATTTTTGATGTTTATTTTATACTTTGGGATGTAATACAAAAATCGCCAAGTAGTTAAGAATTTTTACTTTATTTGTTTACAAAGTTAGTGATAATTTCAAAGACTTTTTTTGAAAGTGTGTAAGGTGAAATATTGAGTGATTTGAGTGACACAGTCTGTCACCTTATTTGTCAGAAATAGATTCAGAGTTGGTGTTTATTTCTGTAAAAATTACAAAAAATACATTTAAAATAAATCTTAAGTATTTTTTACTTAAATTAATTATATAACATTGGATATCGTTATTCATAAACGCTTATGATTGACTTGAATTGACGTGAAATTAGTAAAAATAATCACAGAAGACTTTGTACAAATTGAAAACTGCAACCTTGTGTAAATTATTGTTTTGGTAACAAATTGTGTTCTTTAATGAAATAATACAGAGTACTCGTATTCGTGGTTTTGTGACACAAAATAAGTTAAAAAAAATGGCAGGAGCGCCTACGGATTGGCAGCTGGGATGCGTTGAAGTCAAGCAAAGGGGTGCTTACCTACTGCAATCGGGGCAATGGTCCGATTGCACCTTTTTAGTAGGTGCTGAACCCCATCAGGTAGTCATTGCTGGTCATAAGTTGATTCTAGCGATGGCGTCACCTGTATTTGAGGCTATGTTTTATGGCGGAATGGCAGAAAGAAATGATCCCATTCGTATACTAGACGTGCAACCAGAGGCCTTTAAGGCTCTGTTAGAGTGAGTATGTAAAGAAACACATGTTTTGTCTACGTTTTAAGATTGTAGTGTTTTTATTCTAAGAAAATACTGACATGTAAAGTTAGGCCTAATAGAAAGTATACACTTGAGCATGAATTAAATCAATTTTTTTCAAAGTTTTCAATATCAACTTCTTCTAAAACTTTCAATAATTTCCAGGTATATTTACACAGATAATATTAACATAAGTTCTTTTGACAAAGCTTGTGAGTTATGCTATGGAGCCAAGAAGTACATGTTGCCACATTTAGTAAAGGAATGTACAAGGTATCTTTGGTCAGACTTATATCCACGAAATGCTTGCCGTGCGTACGAGTTTGCTCGGTTGTTTGAGGAGAACGTACTTATGGATAAGTGTATACAGGTATGTGTTTTTGTCCCTGTATGATGTTATTAAATGCATTATTTTTTATTTAAATGTACTCTTATAAAAAATCTATATTAATAATTTTAATTGTTTTTAATTTAGATATAATGTGGGTACTTCTAATATTGCATTTTATTATTGTCTACTTTTTACTTACTCTGTACTACTTGGTACTACTTTGTGTTGCATTCTTTTATAATTTTAATACTCTTCAATTTTCATTATTCAATAAATAGAAGCTTACCATCATTTTGATGACTATTATATAAATTTCTGGAAATGAAGTGTTAGGAATATGTTTTAAGATTTAGTAGTATATACAGTTGACTTAAGTTAAGTTTAAACCGGAGATTGAGGGAACCCTAATCTATCTGTTTTGCTTACCGTCATTAACTTTTCCTGTATCCCCTATAAACACGGAGGTTGTAAATGAAACTAGCCTGAACCCTATGAAATTGGGGTAGGGCCAGGCACGAGATGATGATGATGATTATGTTTTCTAATTTAGTAGGATGTTTTACAGTTCTGTGTTAATCTTATTAATTGACCAGATAATATACATATATATCAGGATAAATATTTCAGACACCTGGCACACAACGCCATATAGTTTCAAACTAAGCAGCTTGTACTATGAAAGTTAGATTGACTGATAAATACTCACATACTTTTTTTCTAATGATGGCTATGATGTCATTAAACATGAAATGGATTGTCTGCAAGTCTAAATGCAGAAATAGAGCTCTTTACCAAAAAAAAATACCAAATATGTACATTTACTCCATCTCCCTGTGTGTCCGTGTGGTGACGGATTAAGAATACAGAGTGTCACCACCCCTATTCATACCGTGGGTGTCGTAAGAGCCGACTAAGGGAACAAAATACGCAGGACAACAGCACTACAGAAGGAAATCTTGAAACAAACCTTATACCCGTCTGGCCAGCGTGGTATAGTAGGCCAAAACCTCCTTTCTAGGGAGAGGCCTATGTCCAGCAGTGGACTAGTAAAGGCTGTTGATGTAATGTGATATCTCCCTATTAGTGCTGCTTTGTGCATGTAGATATGGAGTGAATATTAGTATAGCATATGTCGGCGCACCAAAACATGTAGCCGATCTCGGTTGCGAACCATCGAAGGCCGGCCGGTGCGGGGAGCGGGGATCGTAGCTCGCCGCCTCGTACGCCGCGGTCCTCTCCCTACTCGGCCCTTAGACGCGTTCCGCTACGGGCATTTCTTTATATCGTTTTACCAATATGCAAATATAATATTTAATACAGTCCATATTTATTTAAAGTCCCTCAACGGCCTATTCACATATGTTAAAATACTGAATATAGGTACAGAAAAAACATTTAGTGTATAGTCTATAAATTTATTTATCTCTTCCAGATAATCAGTATGAACACCAAAGAGGTACTTAACGACAGTAGTTTTGAAGATGTTGAGTTAAACACTGTCATCACAGTGTTCTCTCTTGATCATTTAAATATTGACAGTGAACTGGATTTATTTGAAGCTGTTGTACGGTATTCTAAAGCACAGGATAAGAGGACTAATGAAAGAAGCTCGAGTCCGCCTTCAGAGAACGGACCGCCCACTGAAAAGCGATCTAAGAGTCCAGGACCTTCAACTTCTAAGGACAAAGTCGCTGTAAGTAGCTCATGGGATATTTTAATATATTGTTATAATGTAGACACTAAACCCCTCTCTTTTGTACTGTTCTTTTCTTTTCAAAATTTAAAAAATTCTTTTGAAGCGTAAGTGTAAAATCTTAGAGAAAATATGTTGTTGTTTTTTTAAAGTGTATTTTGCAGAACTGAATTGTTCCCATTGCATATTTACTCAAGGTTTTTGTCAAGTCTAAATTTTTATATTGTTCAGCAGTTACAAGTGGTCAATGTCGAGAGCAGTGCCGAAAATAGCCCCGAAGCTGTTGTAGAAGCTCAAAAAGTGGGTGATGTACCTGAACAACCAACATCTGGATCCTCAGACGAAGTTAACAAAAAGCCTGGTGAGTTACCGTAGTAACTTAAGTGGCAAGTATTTGATTCACTGACTGGCTTCTAGTGGTAAGTGACTGGCTGTTAAGCTGGAGGTCGGTTCGATTCCCACCCAGGAGAAATAATTGTGTGATGAAAACGAAATGTATAAGTATGTAAGCGACTGCACGGATGGCGTAGTGATTTAAGCGGTCGCCACGCCGCTTACTACTATGCTGAGTGTTGTGGTCCATAAATTGTTGTTCTGAGTCTGGGTGTTTTTTGTATCTGTTTCATGTATGTTTATAAAACATAGATGTCTGGACTAGGTGTGTGAATTTACTATTATTATTATTCAATATGTTTAACTTACACATATTATAATAGGCCTCATAATCAGAATTTATTTAAATTACGTAAACAATTAAGATATGTTTTTTTCCCGTTAAAGACATATTTACATAGTTGTGTTAAATATAAATGAATTTTTTCCAGATGCCAAAGACAAACCAAAAATCCGAAGTGCCATAGAAAAAATCCGCTTCCTCACTCTTACTCCTCAACAATTTGCTGATGGTCCAGCTTGCTCCCCTCTGCTGACCGAGTCGGAGGCTTTTGCAGTGCTTATGAACATATTATCCAGTAACTCCGATGTGCCCATGCCGAGGGGCTTCTCCACGTGTAGGGTTCCAAGGAAACAGCTGATTGGAGATGGAAATTCATCCAATGTAAGTAAATTGCTACTGAATCGAAATTTGCACTGTCCATGTTACAAAAGAACGGAAGTTACGTTGACCTGGATTATGATGATAATCCCTAATGGAACAGGCCCCTACGATTTACGGTTAAAGTAATATAAAGCAGTGGTTTTACAGTCCTTTTTGAAAATAAAAAAGAATGATACGTCACGAGATGTCTGGCAGATGTCAAACATCGAAATTATTTTCTAGATATAATGAGTATAAAAGGATAGCTTATGTAAGTAAATAATAAGTATAGTACAATGAAAAATATATGACACATATGACACATGTTACTTATACTAGTACATAGAGTGGCGACGTGTCGCCACGACATGTTTCACTTGAAAAGAAACCTTTTATTATGTAACTACTATTTTCGTCGATTATTTATTGATAAAATATTTAAATGTAACAAATATTACAAAGACATGGATAGGTCTTTTGGTCAAATCATCACTCAGTCACTTCAATTCTCACCTAAAGTAAAGAAAGTATGTTTATCAGCAATCCAGTTACCACAATAGACTGTCTGGTTTGTAAATAATATTTTTATACCTTGCATTGTAGGTGGCAACCCTGACTGTAGACACGCCGAGCCCTGTAATGCTGGAGCAGGTGTTCGGTGCACCCGCACAACTGCTGCCCCCTTACCCCAGGCCCTCGCGACACGACGGTAAGACTACCATCAAGTTGTTTGGTCTTAGCCTGTTATGTATATATTAAAATTACACCACGATTATATTTCATTAGTCTACGCCAAGGAGGTCTTCTACTTCTACTTCGAGGTATACAAACGAATAAAATGTCTGCTTGTAATATCTGAATAATAGGTTTTCTTCATGATCATACGGTTATTTGGACGATACCTATGCCTAAAACCAGATTATTTATTTTTTCAAATCAGGATACTTTAAAAAAAATATGACCATGACCTTGAAATTTAGATCAGAGTTTACCCATTCATAATCTAAGGTCTCTTATGAATAGCGAGGAAAAACCCTGAATCTTATACTCGTAGCTTATGTCTTGGCTGAAGAGAATAATCAATTTCCTATGGTTTTGAGAGTTTGATCTTGGATTGGTGACCTTTAGAGATCAAAATTTGTGAAAGTTATATTTAATTGTATTTTTTTCCTTTCTTTTCAATTCCGGTCGCAGAAATATGTAATCCTATTTGAAAATTGCCCTTGACCCTTGTGATAACCTTCAAGGTCACTAATGGATAGCCAGGGAAAATTCTTGGAACTTTTGTGTTTAACGTATTTTCGGAATGCATCCCTAGCGTAATTCGACTTCGCTTCTGCTGTTCCTACATTTTTCTAAGATCCGGTATAAGGAGTAACTTAGGCTATTATCCTCTTAGAAAAACCCTATAAAATTTTGCCCGGTCCGGGAATCAAACCCGAGGCCTCACCACTAAGGCAGAGCTTTTCAAATTCCATGCGAAAGAAGTCGCGGTCTAGCTATTTTATAAAAATAAAAATTCGAAATAATATCTTTGAAATAATTATAATATACATGCACGCAATATTAAGTATAATTATAATGAATTCTTAAAATTATACTTTTTTTAAAGACATTTAAAAAAATTAGTATTAAACACAAAAGAACAAGAAGATCACTTTTACTTATTATTTAGCACAATTAATTAATTATTATACAATTCATCACAATATACATTCACACAAAGAATTGTTAAAATAATTTAGTGATAGAATAAATGTCTTTTTATTTATATTTAATTGCAGTGGGTGTTCGTAATTCTTCCATGGTCCAAGCTCTGATCAACCCAAGCATGTCAGGCCTGCCGGAGCACATGGAGAGGCATGGTGCTGACTTCAACAAGATATACTGCCAGAGAGCCATCATACAACACACTGACTGTCTCAACACCAGTGTTCTAGACTGTTCCGTCACTTTTATGGTTGATAAAAACATTTGTTTGCTTGGAGTTCAGGTAATTTATATATTTTTGTTATGTTCAATGCATGTATTTTTTTTTTCCTTTATTTTGGTACAAAACAGTCATTAAACATAAAGCAATATAAAAATACACTGAACAAAAGACAAGGAGTACCCAAGAATGGATTTAAATAAATGTAGTACATTTCACAGAGCGTTAGACTCAAATAACCTGTGGAAATGACACAAAAAAGAAAATAAAAGGTTTAAAAGAAATACATACATTACGACATTACTAAGTAAATGTTAACAATTTACGTTTAGACATTTTTTTAACATTGTTCAAAGAGTTATAAAAGATCAATACTATTGAAATCTTTGTTATATACATTAAGTGAGCGTGTGAAGAAGTTATTGCGAGTGTAATTTTTATGTAATTTAGGGGGAGCGAAGATATTTAGTGTCCGGGATGGACGGACAGGTAGCCGAGCTTTGGTTAAAAAGTTAATTTTGGAAAGAAGAGACGACGAAGCTATTTTATTATTCAGAATTTTATAAAGACAAATTAGATCAAACTGCTTACGACGATTTGAAAGTGAAAGAAGATGATTCTGATTAAGTGACTCAGTGTATGATAGATCTGAATTGTGGAAGCGATAATTTAAGATTTTAATAAATGTGATGATGATGATGATGAATGCTTACTTTTTGTCTAACATCCTTCTTGAAGTTATTAAATGACATTTAATTCAATTCAAACAAGTTGAAATAGTCTTTCAGTCTTCGTTTTAAGAGATTAAAAATACTAAGTCTCTAAGGTTTATACACATTGTGTAAGTTCCATTGTTAACTTTTGAATTATGCACCAGGTACCAACACAAGCGCCGTCCGAAGAGGGCGTGTCCTGTGTAGGGGGTGCGGGTGGAGGGGTGGGGGTTGGCGGCTACTGCGAGTTGCTATACGCGCACCTGCTGGACGCGGACGGGGCTCGCCTCACCTACACGCACTACACCAACAGGGTGCCTTACCGACACCTGCTCGACATCATGTTCAACAGGCCCGTCTACATACAGAGGAACAAGGTGGGTATACTCACCTTTTTTGTTTTTTTTCCCTGCGGAAATCCCCTCGGATACCACCTATCGGTGGCATGTCGGACTGGAACCGACTAAAACCGTACGCCGTCTCGGGTACTAATAGCCGGGGAACCAGGTATACCCTAGAAAGGAAGTCCCTTACAAACATTCTTTCTTTGAGAATCTTCTACTTTACATAGTATAAAATGAAGTCGCTTTTTTTTTCTTGTACGCTTTGATCTTTCAAAATACTCAACGGATTTTAATGCAGTATTCACCAATAGAAAGAGTGATTAAATAGGAACGTTTATATGTATAATACATGCATATTACAATAGAGGAATTCCGAGACATTCAATGCGATGTCTTAAAAACATGTTTATTATGCGCTTAAATTGCAAACGCTAGCCAAACCTTAGGAGATAGATAAAAATAATGTACTACGGAATTTTATATCTTAACATGATCTACAAAAAGACTGTCCGTGTGGTGACGGATTAAGAATACAAATTGTCACCACCCCAATTCATCCCGTGGGTGTCGTAAGAGCCGACTAAGGAAGCAAACTAAGCAGGACAACAGCACTGCAAAGAGAAATAAAACTTGAAACAAACCCTACACCAACCCGTCTGGCCAGCGTGGTATAGTAGGCCAAAACCTCCTTTCTAAGGAGAGGCTTATGTCCAGCAGTGGACTAGTATAGGCTGTTGTTGATGATGATGATAATATATACATGTCATACATACATAAAGCCGGGGCGGATCACTGGTAACTGATATTATAAAGCTGAAGTTCGCTGACCAAAGGTCGCTGGTTCGATTCCCGCTCAAGTCAAACATTTGTGTGCATGAACATTTAATGTTTGATTTGGTATGGGTGTTTCTATGTATAATATGTATGTATTTACAAAAGAAAAGTATAAACATATTTATATCAGTTGTCTAGTACCCATAGTACAAGCTCTGCTTAGTTTGGAACTAGATGGCGTTGACTGAATGTGGTAAAATATATTATATTATATTATTATTATTATACTAGGGAAGGATGTCGCACAATCGCATGTGAAAAATCATATGACTTATTAATTCTTTAATCACACCTGCCTGTAACTAATTTACAAAACCACTTCGACTTACTTATTATTATTACGCTAGCGCAAGACTCGCAAAAGGTCTCAATGTAAAAAAGGTCGTAATCTTTGATAAAAAGAATTTTGATTGATTTTAATAGCATCTTTGTCTATGACAAGATCACAATCATATGTGAAATCGCTGTGACTAAAACTAATCTGCACTAAAACTTGCCTGCACGGATGGCGTAGTGGTTTAAGCGGTCGGCACGCCGCTTACTACTACGCCGAGTGTTGTGGGTCCGATCCCCACATGGGACGACACTTTGTGTGATCCATAAATTGTTGTTCTGAGTCTGGGTGTTCTTTGTGTCCGTTTCATGTATGTTTGTAAAGTCCCCCGCGACACAGGATATATTCCTAACGCGGGAGTTATCTTTAAAAAAAAAAAAAACATCAACCCGTATTCATCCCGTGAGTGTCGTAAGAGCCGACTATGGGAACAAACTTCGCAGGACAACGGCACTGCTAAGAGAAGGAAAACTTGACACAAACCCTATACCAACCCGTCTGGCCAGCGTGGTATAGTAGGCCAAAACCTACTTTCTAAGGAGAGGCCTATGTCCAGCAGTGGACTAGTATAGGCTGTTGTTGATGATGATGATAATATATACATGTCATACATACATAAAGCCGGGGCGGATCACTGGTAACTGATATTATAAAGCTGAAGTTAGTTTGTTTGAACGCGCTAATCTCATGTACTACTGGTTCGAATTGAACAATTCTTTTAGTGTTACATAGCCCATTTATTGAGGCAGGCTATAACATTACGCTACGACCAATAGGGGAAGAGCATCGATGAAAAATGTTGCAAATACAGCGTAAAGTTATTCCTTTTGAGAAACAGACGAAATTGCGCGGGTTAGCTAGTTTAGGTATATATTTAGGAACGTCACGAGTAGAATAAAGACATTTTTTAACCGACTTCAAAAAAAGAGGAGGTCATCAATTCATCATCATCAACAGCCTTTAATAGTCCACTGCTGGACATAGGCCTCTCCTTAGAAATAAGGTTTTGGCCTACTATACCACGCTGGCCAGACGGGTTGGTACAGGGTTTGTTTCAAGTTTTCCTCATCTTTGTAGTGTTTTTTACCCACGTAGATTGCTCCCGTAGTCGACTCTTACGACACCCACTGCATGAATAGGGGTTTTGACACTGTATTCTTAATCCGTCACCGGATGTTTATATATATATATTTTTTTATGTATGTTCGGGCATAACTCCGTAATATAAGTTGCAGGCGTTCATGAGCGGCGGTAATCGTCAGTTGAACCATCCGCTCGTTTGCCCCCTCTTCCATAAAAAATATACATTACTAGCTGACCCGGCAAACGTTGTATTGCAAAACAAAAAAAAATTAGGGATGGGTCACCCTTACCATTTAGGGGTATGAAAAATAGATGTTGGCCGATTCTCAGACCTACCCGACGTGCACACAAAATTTCATGAGAATCGGTCAAGCCGTTTCGGAGGAGTACGGGAACGAACATTGTGACACGAGAATTTTATATATAAGATACAGATGGATTTTCTAACGGACTGACAACAGAACAACCTCGGGTTTTAAGTGCTCGTAGTTGGTATTGTTTGAAGTTGGTTCAACTTTTTTTTAAGAAGGTTTTTCTTGTTTAACATCAATAACAAAAATAATTATATTTTCAGGTATACAAAGTGGGCATTGTGTTCAACAAAGTTGGGTGGTACCCGATGGGCACATGCGCCCAGCAGGTTGCTGCAGAGTCCGTGTTCTTCAACTTCGGCATCGGGCAGAGCAGCGACTCAGTACGCGACGGGCTGATCAGATCTATCATATTCACTTACTAGCTGACTGAGAGTAACCCCTTTCTCCCCTAATAACGGACCAACTTTTGTTATCTCGAACTATGTGTACAGTATCAGTTCTCGAGTTCCCGTGTCCGCCTTCAGCCTCTAGCATGTATTATCGACCGCCATGTACTATCATTTACACTGCTTGTTTTGTCTACGAGTTAAATTAAAGTAACATAATTTTACTAATGTGAATTTGCCTACCATATAGTAGTTTTACGCATTTACTAATTTAATTGATAATGTTTTCTTGTATTTTTTTGGTTTTAGAGGCTTAAATGTTGAATGTTCGGAATCTCTTTTGGCCAAAGGTTATTCTGTAGGTTGTTTTTCGCTGTTTTTTAAGCTTGTTACCATAAATTATGACAAATACTGTACATTAGTTCTATAGTGTTATTTACTGAACACTCTGAGTTTTACTATGCCAATTAATTGGTCTGGTATACTGTATAGCAGGGCTGTACAAACCAGATACGATATGGGGCCAATAAAAATGACTATAGATTGTAGGACCGCAAAAATATATTTGAAGAGACATAAATACAGGTGTAAAGTTATCTTTTACAATTCTATCAATATCCATAAGTATTATTTTTTGCTTATCGCAGTGCATGAGTGATGAACCTGACAATGAAGACCTATATTTCGGGTTTCTGAACTTCATTGTTGAATATGCAATTTCACAAAAATGAGTACTGCATATCATCCCACCAATTTTTAGAAAAGATATGGGATTCCTAAAAAATTATACCTTTATATTATATTATATTTTCTCTCCGAGAATAAAAATTTTAAGAGGATATTTTCGTATTTAAAGATAGATGACAAACATTTGCGGGCTGCATAAATTTAAGACGCGGGACACATGCGGGCCGTGGTTTGGAAGGCTCTGCTGTATAAGATACTAGAGACTACACTCGGCTACTGTTCAGCGCTTAACAAATGGCACGGTCAAATATTCTTATTTAAGGAATAAAATTTCTCAACTTTATATCGACAGTGTACTAAATTTGACATAAAATTGTCTATTAAAAGTATTTTTTTTAAATAATGCTGTGTACTTTTATTTAATTATTCCTAAGTCAGTACCTAACCTTTTTTTTTTTTTACGTGTTGAAACCCCCACGGGTTGTCACCCCACCGGGGTTTGCGGGGGGGTGGTGTGTCGGAATCGGACCGACTAAAACTACACGGTGTGCCACTCTGCGCCTGTAACAGGAGGGATCCGGGAACTGCTGTTTTTAAGACATCCGGACCCCTCCTAGCGCCGGCCCGCAACGGCGCGGGCACCATCTTCGGGTACATTCTCCATTTAGGCGAAGTCCGGCACACGCAGACATCGCCTCCTCGCGGCTGGCCGTTATGGCAGGTGGAGGGGAAAACCCGTCCCGTCCACCCGCGGCCACACCCACGGCGGCATGAGGTGGTGGTAGGCGCGCCTCCGCCGCCCGGTTCGACGGCGACGTATTGGGTCCGAGTGGAGGTTGTCCTCCCAAACCCTCTCCGCCGCCTCCTTCTGCGAGATGACGTCTTCGCAGAAGAATGCGACCGCGGTGAAACATGTCACTACCGGCCATGGAGCGTATGACGGCCGGTTGTGAGAGATCCCCCCGATGACTGCAATGAGGACCCGGACAGGCGGGACTCAATTCCCTCCTAGCGACCGAGTGCAGGTACATCCCAAAGTAGCCGTGTCCGGAAAGGACCTGCATCAGCCGGAAGGAAAGGGTCCGGTGCTGCCGCCCTGCCCACTCGACGATGACCGAAGCGCCTCCACGGCGGCAAAGCCAGCACGTGGAGCCCCCAGCCGCGACGACCAACGAGCCATCGTGGCTCGACGAGCGGCCTCACGTCACTCGCTTATCTCTTCGGGCGGGGTCCGACTGCCACTATCCGCCCGGCACTCAGCCGTCCGCCCATATGCTTCGGCGAGCACTTCCGCCTCCAAATCCCACGGAGGAGTACCGGCCAATGCGCACGCCGCCTCCGTCGATACGGTGCGGTATCCGCGTATGGCTTTAACCGCCAATATCCTTTGAGTGCGCCAGAGGCGTGCCCTATTCTGGGCGGTCAGAGCCGCCGCCCACACCGGTGCACCGTACAGTGCCATTGACTTGACTACCCCCGTGTACAGCCGTCTCGTGGCGACGCTAGGTCCACCCAAATTAGGTAAAAGTCGCCCTAGGGCTGATGCAGCACCGACCAGCTTTGGAGCAAGCTGTCGGAAGTGCTCGTCGAAGAGCCATCTCCCGTCAAGAATCAGGCCCAGATACTTCATCTCGAGGACCGAATCGACCACGATGGAGGCGCCGGGGGGTGGACCACGACGGGGCTCATGGAACAAGAGAGCCTCCGTCTTATCCAGGGCCACCCGTAAACCCAGCGCCTCAATGCGCCCGACCACCAGAGAGACTCCCTGGTGGCTAGGCGCGCGGCCTCTTGAAAGTCCGCTCCCTGGGCTGTAACCAGCGTGTCATCGGCGTAACAAATAACGCCCAGCCCGGGGGGAGGCGACCACGAAGGGCCCAGTCGTAACCCATGTTTCACAGGAGTGGCCCAAGAACAGACCCCTGCGGAACACCGCACGACATGGGCCGACGCCTCAAAGCCCTATCTTGGTTCTCGTACATGACGGTACGCTCCTCTAAATCCTCTAAAGAAAGCTACGGCAGGTTTTGTCAGGGTTCTATATAGGGGTAATAAGATTCAAATCTTACACCTTTTTTTTTCATGTTCTATGAAATATATAATAGTTTGAAGAAATAGCCTATACCACTCAATGGTAACAAGTCCGTAAATTCAGAGATTCCCATTAAAAAGTTTATAAACAAGTTTAGATAAACTTACTTAAAAATTCTTCTTTCGAACAAATCGAATATTTTTTAATCATTTTGCATTGAGTTAACAAGTAACATTAAGTATATACAACATACTAAATGTACTGTATGGTAGACATGGAAATTATTGGTACTTTTAAATCATATTAATTTGATGACATGATTGGAGTCACAGCTACTTAAAATGTGATTGTGATTTCGTCATGGACAAAGATAAATACCATTAAAATCAATCAAAATTCTTTTTATCAAAGATTTTTTTTATATTTAGACCTTTTGCGAGTCTTGCGCTAGCATAATAATAATAATTAAGTAGCATTGGTTTTGTAAATCAGTCAAAGGTGTGATGAAATGTTTTTTAAATCATATGTGATTGTATTCCATCCCTACTGTATGCTACTTAACACAGTGAAAAGCCGTATATCGTAAATATAAATTATTCGTCAAGTGTGAACTCGTTTTTCTTTAAACCAGTAACAGCGCCTTTTTTTTGTTCAAGATTAATTCATTCACTATTCATATTGCGATTTGAATTAAGAGTTTTAAGAATACCGTTTCACTCGAATTATTAAAAAGTATTACAGATTGGTTTTCTCATACTAAAGCTTCTACATCTTAATTAGAAAAGTTTAATTGGTAGTAGTTATTATACTCACGTGTCAGTTCAAAATGTTTTAATATACTTACATTTTTTAAATAATATCCACATGAAGCTTAGTATACATACCAGTTTAGTATTAGCAAACCATAATAATATGTACAGAATTAAGTCTGTGATAAAAACTACGTAAAACTAAATTCATAAACAAGTACCAAGTTGTCAAAACTGACTTTTGTCATGTTGGAAGTGGCAAATTCTTTCCAAAGTTTAGTTCGCGATTCGAGTAGTTTTATCCATATTATTGAAGTTATTGAAGCATTTCGTAGTTAAGATGATGTTAGGTGGTTCCATTTGATATTGAAATAGTGTTATGTGATAGCTAAAATCTTATTGATCTGATAAAGTTAATGATTTAAGCCAATATGTCTCCGAATAGATGTGATGGTTTACTGGCAAGGGTTGATTTTCCGCTTTACACGCTCCAAACGCTTACTAATAGACACGTAATAGTTGCTGGCGGTGGTGGAGCTGCAGCTACAGGCGTTGCTAATGGATTTGTAAGTAATAACTTATTACTAATATCGAATTATTTATTAGATTCGTTTATATTCGCATACGTGTCAGCTGTTTACTGGAAAGTTTATTCCATGGAAAGTTTATAGTAGCTTTCGTTTTATTCTCAAATGCTCCTATTTTTTCAAAGCCTGAAAACATATGCTTTTAGTTATATTACACCTTACAATGACTGGAAGTGTCAAGTCACCTGATGTTTTATTGACCATAGACTTCTCTCGTTGCGTTTCTATATAAAACTCTTTTGTAACATATTTAGGGACAAAATTACCCCCTTACCAGATGTTTAAAATTATTGTTTTAATTTTTTTATAGGAAATATTTGAGCTATCACACAATGGAACTAGATTTGTGGCCGAAGAGGTGATGAGACATGAAACAGGTCCCAATGTTGTAATGAACTGTTCTGTGAGGAGTTCACAAAATAAGACATATTTAACAGCGGGACAAGAAAGCCATTGCCAACTGTATAAAGTGAACATTCGCATGGTGGATGCGGCTGAGATGCGCCGAGGTAGCTTCAAAGCAGAAAATGGTCTAATTAGGAGGAAACGTCGTACTGTGTCAGAAAATGATAACATTTCTAAAAAAGACAGCAACAGTAATACAACGGAGAAGAGAATATCATTTGAGATAAGGCCAAGTGACAGTGTTCAGACTGATTTTAGGTAATTATTTCTATGATTTTATTTCACAATCTGTAAGTGTCTTAAAACTGGGTGAAGGCTTGTTAAAGGTGCCTCTGATTCCTTTTTGTGATTGTTTTGATGATGCTTTAAGTACGGATATGCTTCATAGAATTCTTAAGAGACATAAAATATGTCTAATGGATCAGAATCTGGTTTTACTCATTATACCTAAAGGCCAATTCTCATAATAAAAGTTCTGTCTCAATTCAGTTCTGAACAACTTTGGATCTCACAACTGTCATAAAAGGTATTTTCGTAGTAAAGGATTTAACATCCAACGTTGACTGTAATGTGATTATATTGTACCGTAACCGAAAATTGAATTGGTGATCTGCCAGTCTTAGTAATAATATACTATTTCACTACGAAAATATATTTTATGACAGTTGTGAGATCAAAAGTTTATTGGAACTGAATTGTGACTGAACTTTTATTATGAAAATTGGCCTTCTGTTATTTTCTGTTTAATGTTAGCAAGAAAAGTTATATAACAATTAATAAAAAAAATATAACTGATTGAATTATCTTAAGAGGAGGGATGAAAATTGACGTAATGGCTTTTAATATATAACATAAACACTATTAAATTTAATTTCCGTAAATAATCTTTAATCATATTATATTAAATATTTTGAGTATTAGTTTGAAATATATGCCTTCTATAGTGTGTCAGTTAATAAGAAAAAGCATTTCTTATGGCAGTAGCTGCCAAGTTCAAGCCAAGTTCAGCAAAAATTTTATATGGGTTGATTAAAACATACAATGCCAATTTTTTCTGCTGCAATTTCCTATTGTCCAATTATTTGCACAGATCTCCTCTTGGAATGTAAAGATCTCATATGAAGTAAAAAATTTAAACATGTTTACGGTTCACATGAAAATTAAGTAGGAGGGTAGTCACCAAAAGGTTGTTGATAGCATCTCTAAGTAGTGGTTACTAGCCACATAAAGGCCTGTATAGTCATTCTATAGGAATAATGCACAATTATATTACTAAAATAGTATGACCATGATAACAAGACAGTAGCCTAATAAACAGTGAATTGAATTGATCTAATGTACAAACACCTTTAGTTTTTTTATGATGGGAAAAGTGTTTCTGTAAGTTTCTGGTGAGATTATTGACCTCATTTCATTAAAAGATCATCTTTTATCTATCCTAGATAATCGCAGATAAATAAACAACTAGGAATAGATAGTAATGTTTGACTAGTTGTTATCATATCAACCTGTGTGATAAACAGTATGACTGCATTTAAAAATTACTTATATCTAACTATGCAAGTAATTCTTGTAAATTTCTATATATCACTGTGACGTTGGAGATTTGCATAAAAATTAAAAAAATGTTGGTTATTTTTTTATTTTATCTAAACGAAGTACTGGTCCAAATTATCTATCTAATTTTGCCATTTCGATGGCAGTTTTTTATCTCTTTAACTCCCAAGCTATTAAACAAATATTAGCATATTATATAAACATTTGGTAAGACCTTAGTACAGAAGTTGTATATGCTACCACTGCACCTCTGAGGTAGTGAAATGTCTTTAATTCCCAGATGTCCTGTTGACAGCAATAGCCTTGCCTGTTGTGTATAATAGGGTACGATGGGGTTGGTGTATTTTCTTATGGATAAAAAGCCTTATTAAAAAAAAGCCATGTCCTTATGTGAGACAAAATTATAGTTGTCAAAATGTGTCTGTATTATACACCTCATACACCCTTTTGAGAATACATTCGTAAAGTATATATGAATTAAATAATAATTATACATGCGAAAGTGAGATTGTTTCTTGGTTACGCTTTCGCGCCGTAACTGCTCAACCGGTCGTCACGAAGTTTTGCATTCAAGGGTACTAAAAAGTCATAAAGGGTACTACATAAAGGTATTTTAGATAGAAAAAGACAAGATAGAAATAAAAAAAAAAATCTGGAGTGTAAAAGGGCATGTTTGCGTACACCCTGGGCTACAGAGAGGGTTAAATAAAAATAATATAGAAAAAAAACCGCTGTACAAAGGTGGCTAGTGGTAGCCAGTATCTAAATAAACCTGATATTATGTTAAATATTTGCAGCAATGATCCCTTACAACGAGTGGTCCGGATCAGCCACAACGGAAAGCTAATGGCGACGGGTGGCATAGACGGCAAGGTGCGCGTCTGGAGTTTTCCCAAGATGCAGATGCTCTTCGAACTTGATGGACATACGAAGGAGGTTTGTAGTTCTCTATGAGATACAGAGACAACCTAGTCAGGGTTCACTCCCTCAAGTTTTTCCTAAACCTTAAAATATAACGCCCACCAATTTTCTTTTATCTTTGAGCTGCTGCTAAAAATTTCTTAACAGAATATTCCAAACTTTACAACAGCAATTTTTGCACCATATATGCTGCCGTCTCTCCTGGGCAGAATAAGTACCGTAAGTGTCCCGGAGTTAGGATTAAGTATATAATGGTTCGCAACTCCGCTTATCAATCCCAAAGAATTTTGGCGTAAGGCAGACATTTGCACATAAAAGAATCCAAAATTCTTTCCAATGTAACATATTACACTAATCTGAATTAAATTAGCAAAAGAGCATAAAAGTGATGACAATGATGACCATCTAGTGGTTTTCTGATAATTGCAGATCGACGACCTCGACTTCAGCCCCTGCGACACATCATTGGTGAGCATCGCGAAGGACAGTCAGGCGCTCGTCTGGTCCACCGCCAGCAAGCGCGCACCACTACTTACTATTACCTGCCAACCACCGAACGGCAACAAATACCTGTTTAGGCGATGCAGGTATTGTAAAAAACATTTATTGTAATAAAGTGATGTTTAAGTACTGCTATACATTTGAATCCTTAAGTATGCTTTTAATACAACTCAATATTTAATATAAATGACAGTGACTCGACACACACGCACGCACACACACACACACACACACACACACACACACACACACACACACACACACACACACACACACACACACACACACACACACACACACACAATGATCTTAGTATTTCATACAAAAATGTATCTTGTCTATCGTTTGGAAGTTTATTAAAAACATACTCTTTGGACTTCCCATTCATTTACCCATTAATTGAATTAAGTTAACGGGTTATTTTTGGGGACATTAAGAATAGGGGTTAGCGATTTTACCTGGTGGTCAATAATCAAATCGTAAATAAAAACCACCAGGTAATTCCTGGATATGCTATGCGAGCACGACCGCTGAAGACGTATATGAATGCAGGTTCGGAGTGATAGAGGACAAGCCCGGTGAATACCGCATGTTCACGATCGCCAACCCGCTGTCGCGCTCGGGGCGCCAGCGCGGCGTGCTGCAGGCGTGGGGGCGGGAGGGGGGGGCGGGGGGCTGCGCGCGCGCCACCGAGGCGCTCTCCGCGCTCGCCGTCAGGGACGACGGACGCTTCGTCGGCGTCGGCACCATGTTCAGCGGCTCCGTCGACATCTATGTCGCTTTCAGTTTACAGGTCAGCCCTTCTACTTCTTCATATGTTTGAAGGCTAACGTCTTACGCATTAAATGCCAGAATAGGTTATTGTGTAAATATATTAATAATAGTATAATCATTTAGTCAAATTCAATCGAAAATATCATTTAGCAAATAAAAATTTAAAGGAGGATTTGGCCTACTATACCACGCTGGCCAGGCGGGTTCGTATATGGGGTTTGTGTCAAGTTTTCCTTCTTTTGGTAGGCCAAATCCTACTTTCTAAGGAGAGGCTTATGTCCAGCAGTGGACTATTTATAGGCTGTTGATTGATGAAAAAAAGATTGACACTAAATTTTATAATTCATTTCGAAGTTTAGCCTGTCAAACCTTGCCTGTCATACTACTCCCACACCTGTCTTGAAGAAACAAGTTGAAATATAATCCAAATTTTAAATAATGTTACAGATAGGTAATGTAAATGCAGTAATCCAAATTTTCCTACCGACTTCATGGCAATCAAACTAAATGAATTTTCATTTATTTACAGAAAGTGTTACACGTGAACAACGCCCACATGATGTTCGTGACTGGCCTAGAGTTCCTGCCGGTGCGGGGCTACGGCCCACCCATCACCTCCCGGAGCGAAGTCGCGTTGCTATCCATATCCGTAGACAACTGCCTCTGCATCCACTCACTGCCTTATAGAAGTGAGTATGCGCCTACTGACCTTCAAGAAGGAAGCCTCTAGAGAGGCCGTTCAGTTGTATTATGACAGTATATATTATATAATAATAGACATTGATTAAGTTATCACAAATAATTTATTTTTAATAACTTTTAACTAACTTTTAACTAACTTTGAGTTTTTAAATGAAAAAAAAACGTACGAAAAATAACCAGGGATTAATGCAATGTGTTATGTGAGGATGTGGTTTATTATTAGAAGCAATATGTGTATATTATAGCTGAGATAAAGTAAATTTATAAAAAAAAAAGTTGTTTATGCAGACAGTTCCCGACCATCATCGGAACATTCTTAAAATTAAATATCTGCAGTCTCTTGCTACGTGTGTATTTACGCACTTTAAATATGAACTCACCTTTTTCTAAACTCAGCAGACCACGGTGAAACGGTTATTATCTTCATATATCTGTTCAAATTATTTTTGGTGTCTTTCTTTTTTAAATCTATGGCTTCAATACACAAGGTTATTTGATTACAGATTATAATACTAATAAGGAATGTTTCTGTTCCACAGGTACTGTACCTGCCTGGGTTGCCATCTTATTAATAATATTCGTACTGTTTTGTACGTTCACCTTATGTTCATACATGGGCATTTAACGATAATCACATATTTATTATTTGTAAAAGTAAATAAATGAAAATATTTCTTGTAAGTAATTGGGGTCATGTTTAGTGTAATTTTATTGTAATAGGCAATTATGAATAGTATGCTCACATACATATTATGTATGTATACATAGGATTAATTGAATTAAATAAGGTGCAATGTTGCGATTTCATGTTTTTAATTTGACCCTTGGAATTTACTTAACTTAAAGACTTGTTTTCAAGCGTTTTATATTATGTAGTTTATATCTGGTTTTCATATTAACAGCACGAAAGGTTACCATGTCGATGTGGAACCGACTCTAATATTTACGTCATAAGATCATTTAAGAGGGCCTATCTCACGCTTGGCCACTGTTTTGGTGTTTTTCTTTTTGATTTTATAAAGTTGCTTATTCAAAAATCATGGCAAACTGAGATTTTGGGCACCTAACATTATTTTCGTCAGCTAATTATACTTTTGGCGATAACGTTTTTGATGAACACTCACGAAATGAACAAGGAGTGTTTCCGAAGTATCTGGCGAAACTTCTGCATGTTTCAATAAAACTACTCCGTGTATAGTATATACAATTTTAGTATAAATAAATTTGATTCCACAATAAAACGTAAAATATGTCAGAAAGCCTATTACTCAATTGTGGTTTACATAGAAGACAAGAATGCTTGGGATTAATTTAGCATAGGCTTTTATTTAATTTGCCATTTTTATGTTTTACTTCACTTTCTTTTTTGTTTCTTCTATATCTTGTTTTCCCTTCATTGCTTTTTTACCTTTTAGTCCTTAAAACTTACATACTGGCACACATCATAACTATGTTGTGTATATTTAATGATGCCATTTTTATCTGTTGATTGAAAAGAGTGGCCGTGATTTTGTATACGCTTCTTCTCATGAAATCCAACTCAACCCCTTGGAAATGGGCGGCTGTAGATCGGCACAGGCATATAAGAGATTTTCGATACGTATATATTTAGTTTGCTAAATATTTGACAAAACAGAGATTGTTGCTATTGTGTGTTGATCTATGACTTTACACAAGAGACGTTTTTTTTTTATGAAATAAAGATATTTGGTTGGATGTCTGGTTCTGGATTTTTCACACAAGAGACGTTTTTTTTTTATGAAATAAAGATATTTGGTTGGATGTCTGGTTCTGGATTTTTCGAGTCCCACAATCCCGACCTAGTACGAACCCTGCGGAACACCGCACGACATTTTCACGCTGACCGAGACCGATCTTACTTAGGTAGCTGACGGCTCCGTCCCTCCTAGCGCCTGCCCTTTAAAAGCGTGGGCACCACCTTCGGGGATAAACTCTCATTTAAAAGACGTCCGCTAAACGAGGATATAACCTCCTTGCGGTAGGTCTTCGTGGCGAGTGGAAAGGAAAACTCGTCCATCTGAGACCACACTTAGGGCGGCATGAGGCACTGGAAGGCACGTCAGTAATCCTCTTCGATTACTGCAATAAGCACCCGACGTTCCGTTGACAGGCGCAACTCAATTCACTCCTAGCGATCGACTGTTGGTACTCTAATCAGACATACCCAGAAAATACCTGCGTCAGTCGGACAGAAAGGGTCGAATGCTGCCACCCTGCCCACTAGACGATGACCAGCTCCATGGCGCCAATTCTAGTACGTGGAGCCTCCAGCCGGGACAACCAACGAGTTATCGTTGCTTGGCAAGCGGCCTTTAGCCACTCATTTCCGCCTCTAAATCCCATTGGAGAGAGCCACCATCACCCTCTGAGGCTGCTAGAGGTGCGCCTTATTCTGGGCAATCAGAGCTTCTGCGCACACCGTTGCACCGTGTAGTGCCGTTGACTGAACAACCCTGGGCTATTACTACAACTTATAGAGTAATCTCCACTACAGCCGCAGTTGTTGCAACTGCATTTTTGTGTACACGCACAAGTCTCAATCTTCGTAGGTATCAGAAAATAAAAATAAGAAATTATGGCAATTACGTAATATAAATCCTAGATGTCCTTACCTTAAACAACTCTATAGAATTAAAGAATTGTTTACATTATTGTAAGTATATGCATACTTTCTGACATAGTTCGTTTTATATAATCATCATCAACAGCCTTTAATTGTCCACTGGTGGACATAGGCCTCTCCTTAGAAAGGCATATATATTTGCTTTGTTAAAAAAATTCAGCACGCGCTCCTTTGTAACCTAGGCACGTGCCTACTTTGCTTAAGGGTTAATCCACCACTGATCAGCACGTAGGAAAATTGTTATTATTAATATAACAATATTGGACAATTAAAAATAAATAGTAATTCACATTAAATGTTCGCCGAAATGTCAGGACTAAAAAAATAAAAATCATTTGGTTATTTTGTATAACATTTATTAATTACATCAAAACAAATAACATACTTGATGACCGGCGTTCGAAGAACACGCCCTTAGACCGACTTGAGATCTGTCCGTTAGCATACGTACATACATACACTGTATTCTTTATATAAAGATTTACTATATTTAAATTCAGTTTGTTACTTTCATTTTTCATCACCAACTATAACCTAACTGCGAGATATAAATACGTAACAAGAGCCATGAGCACAGCTCTGTTCCTCGACAGTACAACGATAGTTTGTATCTGAGATGGGTTTGGTCCCGATACGTATTTATATACATTTAACTTCAAATAAAATAAACCAAAGCACCCTTTTCTATCAAAAGTTAAAAAAATAAAAGAGTTTTTACAAATTTGTAACAAGTCTATGTGAACTAAAATAATATTTAACTACATATGTTGTAAAGTAACATTACAGTGCTATACACTGTTCTCGTAACGAAATTATTTGATAAAATGGAAGACTAAAAGTAACTAGAAACTGTGATGTTTTCTGATATATCAGACATTGAAACCACTTTAGAGGAAGACCGTGGGAGATTCCAAAGGTTAAATTTTACATAACTTGTAACACTCCGAGGATGAACCAAAAACAACTATAAATACAGCAATTCATGCGGTTTCTATAAAAATAATTAAGTTATAAACTTTACTATTCTCATTCATTCCCTCCATTGCATACCAATGGTGGAACAAAACAATGTTTATACCCAAGAAACAGTATTTGCTTCAAATGAACATCATGGAACTGTATAATTGTAGGCCATTGTAAATTCCCTTAATAGTTTTTTTGTATATAAATATTCTCTATTTTGTATAGTGTATGGTCCCTGACGAAATACTGTATATTGTATAATTTTTACTATTATATATTTGTGTCACCACAACTCAAGAGTGTATAATATGTAATATGGATACTATGATTGAATGAAGTAAAAATATTTTTGGCATATTTTGAGTTATGGCAACACTGCAGTTGGTGTATATGAGCTGAAGGCACGCGTCACTCATTCTGTCGGCCTAAACCAATCGTATCGTGGACATTAAACCATCGACATCCTCAACATATACTAACATACACTACGTTTACATATATTTAAATGGCACAAATATGTAGCATTCGACTCTATATAAAAACTCAATAAAATGTTTATAACATAATTTTAATATACTCTTTGCTCTAACATCACATCAGTACAAATCCTTAAGCTTAAAATTAACGGCTAAGTATATTGATTAATATGTATTCAGTTATATATATCACAATCATATACAACATAAAAAAAATATATTTTATATTATTTTAAGTGGTCACATACTTGAAGATCATTTTTCGTTGTCAAATTCATTGCCGATATTTAAAGCTATGTAATTTAAAATTTATTTGTTACAAGATATGGTGTGTAAAGGCAACACTTTGTATAGATGACATTACTGTAGCCGGTTAATTAGTGTATACAATGTTGCCACATTGCAAAATATAATTAATATAGATTATAAAGCAACTAAAAATATTCGATATTCAAATTGTGTTTAATAATACATTGTATAAACTAATTAAGGGACTGTTCATTTTATATTATTACTAAGGGCTGAAGCACAAATATAAATAAGCACAGTGCGGCTGCGACATCACACAAGTTTTTGACATGCTCTCGATTTTGTGTTAGTGACCTCACATTTAGTGGAAGTTGCTAAATAGCATAGCAACTGCTTTTGCAACCCTTACATAAATACGTTTAAGAGAAGTGACTGAGAACACTAAGCGATGCTTATATCCTTAATGTGTTATTTAAAATGTTTGCTCGAATTCTCAGTGGCTTGCTTAAACTAAATATTGTAACAAAAAGAAATGATAATTTATACTAGTTTAAGTATTTATTTTGGGAAGAACTGATTAATTAATTATGAAGCATGCTCGATAGAAGGTTCATGTGAAGGAGTTAAATCTTAAATTAGTATAGTCGATCGTGTTCTACATTCCAATTTGAGGCAATTTGATTGATGAAATTGATTGATAAAGCCCATCAATCAACAGATACAGGTCACACAGCTGCAGTGCGCTTTCCAACTCTGACTGTGCATTATATTCGCGTAATCTGACGAAGAAATTAACATTAGAACTGGTAATAAATTATCATTTCTAAACAAATAGCGCCCGCGTTTGGGAGGGGTTGGTTTTTATACAAATGTGGGCCGAATGGAGACAAAATGAGTCGTGACCATATTTACAAAAAAATACATACTTAGACAATTTCACATCGTTTTTTAACTTTACTACAAAGTACATATATTCAATTTAGGTTGCTTGAAATCAATGCATGAGTCACAATGTTATTTTATAATATGATATATTTGAGCGATATTATCTGTTGTTTATGCAGAAAAAAGCTTCATAGAAACCAACAACATATGTATATATATACATTTAATAAATCGATAACAATGTATAAATAACAATAATTAATATACTTCAAAAGGAATACAAAATTAGACTACGGTAAAGTTTACCGTCAATTTTAATATACATGATGAGTAAAGGCGGGGGGCGTGTGTATACAGGATGAGTATTAAACAGAGTAGCATAAAAGAAAACATTTTTTTTTAAATTGATAAATGGTAAGGTTTGCTTACTGTGTTAATGTTACACACAAAAGCAGAGACAATGCCAAAGAGACTGTTCAGTTAACGAAACTGCACGCGTCAGTGTGAATCGAAATGCTATATCTAACATTAAGAATTTTAGGCAGGAGCCTCAAAATAAAGGAATTAATGCGATCAAATAATAGGTATTTTTTAGCTTTGAATTATTTATCACATTAACCTTTAAATAGCCTGACGTTTCGACCAGGTTGTACCGGGCGATCATTGCGTACGTAAACACTGGAACGCGAAAATTTAAATTTTAGTAGAAATATATATTATTGGCAAATTTATTCACGGCTAAAAGGTGCTATCTCCGATACTCTATAACAATAAATATAATACAATCTATGATGTGACAATAGTTCGCAATGATTCCAAGCGATAATACATGTGTCCAAACAAGTTTTGCCCTGTAATACTGAGTCACATATTGAATTAATTGACGTCTATGAAACATTATAATCCAAATCATAACACACATAGCACACTAAATGTCCGGAGATTATATTCTCTAACGTCTACGTCGTACCCTATGTCTACGGTGACATCCATTAAAAATTCACATAAAAACTGCTTTGAGCCCGACACTAGAAATGCATTCAAAATGTCCCGTTTGTCCCGAACCGTCCCGAAACGTCCCGAGCGAGCTCCACGCGCCCCACCATTACACTGCAATAAATAAAATTTTGTATGTATTGACAGTTACATAAGTGTTATTTATTTATTGAAGCGTTTAGAAAATGTTGAGGCAAAAATTTCAAGTTTTGACATACATAAGCGCAATATAAATAGGTGGGGCGACGACATTATACATTAAATTTAAATATTCTATTCTAGTGCAGTTAATATAAGAATGTTTAACAAATGAAGTGTTAGGAACGTTTCGTTAATCCGAACCCTGTTTAAATAAAATAACCTAATGTTCACTCTATTCAAATGATCGCAATAAACTTAATTCTACAGCTAACTTTATACATATTTACATATCACTGTATAACTCCACACTTATAATAATACTTAATTAACACATACGATATAACTAATGATATTTACTATAATTAAAGCACTACAAATTGACTTGACATTGCCCATTTAGTATCACAGTGCCAGCAATACTAAAAAAGCAACGTGAGCTACCATCTAACTAGATCTAGTTTTAACGAGTTCGGATCAACTGAACTTGACTAGTTGTAATATACGTCCATGTACTCACCTTGATCAAAAGTACTAGGGTTTATGTACGACAACAGATCCTGATCTGACATGTCAGTCAGCCCCTGTACCGGAGCCGTCATCTCCTGCGTCACGGCCTGGGACACGGCCTGCGACACGGCTTGGGATACCGCTTGAGTCACGGCTTGGGACACAGCTTGAGACATGGCTACTAATGGAGTCTCTGCAGCTGGTTCCGCTGGGGGCTGGGACTCGTTCGTCTGCATTGTTTGCATGACTCCATTGCTTTCCGTCGTTAAAATATTTGCCGTATTAATCGCCGAAGTGACCAAGGCGTTCATTGTAGTATCCGAAGTCAAAATTTCGGCTGCAGCGTTCAGAATCATAGATTTGACAGCGGCTGGAGGAGTCTTTACTGATGTAAGCTGAACTTGATCTTGAATCATCATAAGTTCGTCCTGAGCGGATCCAGGAGGCATCACTATCCTTTGAGAATTATCGCATAACATGCTCGGGGAGACTTGAGGGTTAAGAATTACATCTGGTGAGATTGCTGACGTGGGCATAGGGGGCAGAAGTTCAGCTGCTTGATTTCGGCTCACGACTGCTGCGTTTGGACTCAGTATGACGTCGGACGCATGGGATGCTGCGGAAGATGATGAGGAGGTGCCTGATAGATGATCATCCACTCTTGAATTGACAAGTTCATCAAGCTTGGTAGAATCCGGCAAGATGGCAGCCGTCGCCTTCATAGCGTCTTCGACTAAGGTATTGAGGTGAGCGCTTTGTTGGGCCAAGCGTTGCTCAATCTGAGTGGTGCCCATTTCTAATTTGGTGATAGCTCCAAACGGATTGAAGGTATCTTCTCTATTGGCTTGCATTTGATTGTAAGCCATCAGTCTTTGTTCGTTGCTGGTCATGACAGATGACTGCATTGTGGTATCAGTAATCATCAGTTCAGGGTTCAGGACCTTCATGTCAGGTTCTAACGGGTCTACTGACTTTGAGGAAATAAGTCTCATGGAGTCTAACTGCTGCATGGGCATCATTGAAGGGTATATCTGTGGGTTATTATCGTCAGTGTTGAAAATGGCGGCTGTCACGGTTTCCACCATCTTGTCCGTTTGGACCTGGTTCTGTATGGCCTGAAGTTGCTGCGTGAATGACGCCAGAGGCGAAGGTGGTTCGCTCTGTGCAGGTGTGGGCGGGGATAACTTCATATTGTCATAACCGAATCCAACCTAGAGGAGTAAAGACAAGCTATGTCAAGTAAGGATTACAGACGGTAGAAATTAAGGACGTTCTTTTTTAATAAGTTAATTTTGCCCACCTGTGACTGAGAGTCTCTGGACATCTCGGACTTGAGCCTAAGGTCGACCACATTCAGCTCATCTGACACCGAAATCAGGGGTTTGTCAGGATCCTCTGCGCCGCAAGAGTCACTACCGTCAACGAGAGAGTGTTGGCTGGATTCATCGGCCACCTGTACAACATATGTAAATATGTATGAATTATTAAATTGGCTTCGTGAATAGATATTTTGAAGTATGGCATTTTATTTTGCAGATTTAATTTTTAAATATAAGCAAAAAAAAAAGTCGAGATATTGTGGGCGTTTTACATTTGAACTTAGTTATTTGTATTATAATTTGGCTAGTTTATATCACTGTCTTAGTGGGTTATTGAATCACAATAGGGAAACAGATGTATGTGTTTACAGCCTCTAGGAGCTACCGCAGTCAGTCACGTTTCTACTCCAAGACATCATGATCATTCCCTACACAAATATTTATCTTGCCACGTCTGAAAATTATTATATAACCAAGGAGTATCGGCATCAAGCTGACATCCCGCCTCAAAATACGTAAGTCACAATCTTTTTTTACTAACGACCTTCAACATTATACGATTCTTTTAAGACAATTTATGAGTAACCTGAAATATGCCTTAAATCGTTGATTGAAATATGCAAATGGAAAAGCAGTATTAGTCCCGAAATAAAAGCGACAAAGAGAGATGAGTACTGACCTCGCTCTTGAGTCCGACGGGCGAGTGCGGGTCGGGTACGATGATGGAGGGGCGGCGCACGGGCAGCGCGGGGGGAGGCATCATGTGGCCGCCCCACAGCAGCACGGGCCGCGCTTCCTCGCCTCCTGCACACAGGCCAACATAAGCTACCACTCCACCTCACTCCATGCCCTAACGCTCCGTTCTAACTGGTTAGCTCCCCTTAGCGACCGACCGATCTCCTCGGTACGATTGTATTATATATACGACATTATTGTGCGCGTGATTCGAATTTATATGCAGTTAGGAATTTTTGTAAATATTTTAAGTTGCAAACAAATCATTGTCAGAGAACAGCCGTGACGATGTACCAAACTTTGTAAAAAAACAAAAACGTAAACATTTTCGATTGTCTATCGGCCGTATCAGCAGCAATTTTGACCTTTAACAAATCTTTTTAGACAGTATTCTGATGATTCTTAATGATTATGTAGATATTTGAATATTTCTACTATTGTTATCTAACAGTAACCAATCAATTATACCATTAGACAAGGATTATACCTAACGACATAATTAATTAGTTACTTTTCAAATATCTATATAATCATTAAGAATCATCAGAATACCTAACATCCTCCTATGCCATCTAGCCATATCTATTACTTACTCAATAAATTGTGCAAAACAAAGTATTAAACTATAGAGTTACTGGTAAAACATAGTTTCATCCGACAATGGTTTGCTAGTACTGTTGTTAGACATAATACTCTCATGTATTATATTAAATTAATTATCAATTCACACTATGGATGGCAAGAGGCCAAAGATGCATTATTGATATTAATTTCTTGTAAACAAAATGATAGCTATGCAATTGATTACAGAAGCTTGAATCATTAATTAAATAGTAATTACATTCTACAAACATTACAAAGGTGATATAATTTATTTATTTACATTCTCCAATTTTACATTTCTTTAAATATTACCCTCCTATATTGTTTACTTCGTGGCTATAGTTCATTCGAGTTAAGAAAATAGTGAATAATTAGTATTGTTTAAGAAATAAAGTAAAAAAGTGTCAAATACACGCGCGCTTATAGAGGTGAAAAAAATATTAGGCATGTTTACTTAGTAATATTAGCTAATATATAGTAATGGTTTTGATAGAAATGATTTCCCTGAATAAATAGTATTAGGTTTACGTGTGAAAATATATAACTATACACAAGTAATTATAAATCAGGTAGACTTCTGTGGTGGAGCAGGGGCTCGGTTCCAGCTTTTAACTCAGAGAAAGTTAGTGCAGGACTCATGACAAGCAGAGGGGGCGGCGTCCGCGTGTGCCGGACGCCGCCTAAAGAGAGGAAACTTTGAGACGGAGCCCGCAACAGGAGCGGGCCGGCGCTGGGAGGGGTCCAGAAGGCGATAACTACCTGGACCCCTCCTAAACTGGAAGCGCAAAGAGGGCACACCGTGTGGTTTTAGTCGGTTCAAGTCCGACTCACCGCCCCGCCGAACGAGAGCCCCGGCGGGGTGACGGTCCGAGGGGATTTCCACACGTAAAAAAAAAAAAAACTCACTCAACTCATGACAAGCTCCAATTTGATATTTACTACTTGAAATCGTTGGATCCACTCTTGTAGTCAGTTGTAATAGACTAAAGAATGTTAATGTACTGGCTGCATAGCGCATAAAGTCGTGCCACGGGAAGATCGACTCAGTTTAAATATTTTTTTAATGAAGGGTTCTGAAATCTTTTTTTGTAACAAATAAATTAAGTCGATGCTTAGACGCGCACATTTAAAAAGCCATATCGTTCAAATCGCGATTGCCTTGACATCGTCGGTAATGTTTCGTTGTATACATGTTTGTTAGTGTGCGCCAAGGAGATTTACATAGAAGTTAGTAGAAAGCAGAAGGACAATAGGACAAAACTGTAGGGTAGTTACATTTCTTCCCATAACTAGCTTTACCAGATCAATATCCTTATGGAGACTTACTGGTTGGTTAGAAAATAAATAATAATAATATGGACAAGATCTTTAAAGCAATTATACAAAAACGAGGTATCCTCATGGTAGTCGCAAATGATGTGTGACATCTGTCATTGCGCCTATTATATAATGGCAAACTGCAGCATAGGGCGCGCTCATTGGTCAAGTCAAATAGCGCGCTCTCATTAGTCAAATCAAATAGCGCGCTCTCATTAGTCAAATCAAATAGCGCGCTCTCATTAGTCAAATCAAATAACGCGCTCTCATTAGTCAAATCAAATAGCGCGCTCTCATTAGTCAAGTCAAATAGCGCGCTCTCATTAGTCAAATCAAATAGCGCGCTCTCATTAGTCAAATCAAATAGCGCGCTCTCATTAGTCAAATCAAATAGCGCGCTCTCATTAGTCAAATCAAATAGCGCGCTCTCATTAGTCAAATCAAATAGCGCGCTCTCATTAGTCAAATCAAATTACTTTTATTGATATATTAATTTATTGTTACGCATTTTCGTCCCGTTCCACGTAATCACAAAAAGCGAGAGGCGAGATCTTTTGTTGTGTAACACAACAAAAGATCGCTTCGTGAAACAGTGGATGCATTACATATTTGTTTTTGTTATTATGATAATCTGCATATATCCATTGCCTGACTAAAATGTATATTTTTTCTTAACTCGAGATACTATAGTCACTTAGAGACAAAATTAAAAATAATAATCGCCATAATTGAAACATATGCTATGAACCAGTTAAAACGGAGTCCTGTAGAAAATAGTAGATAACAGGGCATATTCGGTACGTATTACTAACTATGTGGGATTGTACAGTCTGTCCTAGCGAGGAGTGTCACTGAAAAGTGGATTCTGTGGTAAGTAAATAAAGTACATATTATCACCACATCTTCTTATGTGTATTCATGTTTGGTCTGAACATGTTGAGAGTTTAGCGTGTATTATTGACATATTGTTGTATTACTAAAATTTAGATATAAATAAGAGGATAAGATATTGTTAAACCAATATATATTTTATAAAGGTTTAACGCATGTTTTTTATTTATTTTTATTCTCTAGTCATATTTGAGTTATATGAAAGTCATCTAACTCGGATCATTAGGCAATTTAATTTGTATTTACTTTAAATTAATTTCAAAGAACAGATTTTTTTACATCTACATTTTTTTTAATATTCATTCATTAAAGTTGATCTGTAATCAACTATAGAGTGGGTAATGTGTACTGTTCTGAAGGCTGAGGTGTATTTCTGTTGAAATGTTTAAGTGTAATTTATGTCTGGCTATGAAAGCCGTGCACGTGTGTGTGTATGTGTGTGTATGTGTGTGTCTGAGTGTGTGTATGTGTGTGTGTATGTATGTGTGTGTGTGCGAGTGTGTCAATACCGTGCTGGCGCGGGGGGCGGGCAGCGGCGGCGGCGGTTGACTCGCTACCTAGACAGACCTAGCTTGAACAGAAAGGGAAAAAGAAAGAGTACGCTATTTGCGCATCAGTCGTTTCCTCTAAATTTCTCTAAATATACATAACTTTTATATTGTTATATACCTCAGTGTTACTTACATGCTAGACGTTAGATATCAAGCAACATATGTCTGCGAAGCGGTTGTATCCCTCTCGCGTCTATCATTTAGAGCTAAGCTATGCTTCTATGACCCATGCCATGTCTTTGAAGCCATTGGCTAGAAGACAATGCTAATGAATACATGCATTATTAATTTGATTATTTTGTGTATAATCTTTATAAAATGTATACCAAGTTATTGAATATATATTTGTTATTTTGTCTTCAAAGGCCTGTGTCTAGTATGTTTTAAGGCCACATTTTCTAAGTAATAAATGCGTTAGCGATACACATCAATTTCTAAATTATATTCAATAGTAAAAGCAAATATATGTGACATTATGACGATCTAAACGCTATATCGCAATGACAATATGTTGAATGATATTGTATTAGTATCAAATAATGAGAAGCAATATTAGATAAAGCAAAAATATGATTGCGAAGCATATTAAAGCAACACCGTATGTATGTGGGTTAATTTGCGATATAACAGTATTTTAGTGTGTCTTCAATGAAAATGACGACAAGGTAAAAACTGTTATATTTATTTTAGATTAAAGTTCAAAATTTTATGTTTCACTTTTATAATGAACTTTAGTAATACAGAATTGGATTTGTAAATAATGAACGCAATGCAAGCATTTTAGTATATAAACAGCAATTTTCTGTTGCACACTAATAACTAACTATATCTATGTAATAGTTATAATGTTAATACTGTGCGTGCATACATCTACAACATACATTTAGGACATAATTACATATGACGACGGTATGTCACTTTTGATACGAATCTTGCGCAAACGCATTTTTTAATGTCATTTTTATATGCTTATAAAAACGTGTATTCTTAGTGTGTATTTAAATTAAAATGTGTTACGACAGAGTTACATTTTTTTATATTCTATTTAAATTCAGAACTGCATGCGAAAAAAGAATTACTTTTTTTATTTCCGAAACAAATCGAGGTTACTTACAAATTACTTCGAGATGTGGGTGTTTAATATTTGACATTAAAAAATACTTGTAAACACCCAAGCCACCCTGACACGAGTACCGAGTATATAGAACAGTTCTTACCCTGAGTGTGGTGCTTGGTGGAGTGCAGCGGCCCAGTGTCGAGGGAGGGAGGGGTGTAGTAGAAGCAGTGGGGCTCTGAGGTCTTGCCCCCCGAGCGGACGAACAGTTGCACCGTCACTGTCTCCGTTATGTCCGTGCGCGCGTACGGGGGCACGCAGCACACCAGGTGCGTCTGCGGAACCAGCCACCGCGTTATACATATATGCCACTGCGTACATATGGCAAATAATCGTTCACTTAATGCTCATCTAAAGAAGCAAAGTAAAAGTTTGTTCTAGAATGAGCAACCCAGTCATTTAGCTTGTCTGTTTATTAGTATTATTGTTTCATAAAAATCCGACTGTTCCGAGTAGAGCAGCGTTTGACATCGACTCGAAAAGTTGCTTTGCTTCTTAATGAAAAAACCCCAAACGAACTAAAACTAGTTCTTCATAAAATACCTGTTGTAAAAACTCTTTATCAGGCGTAACTTCTTCCTCCCAATGTGTTCTGCTGTCCTGCCGCTGGCAGAAGACAACCCTGGTTTCCTTGAGGAAGTTCTTGCCCAGCAAGTACAATTCTAGGCCTCCAGTCGCTGGGCAGGACACCAAAGACTTCCGGCATACTTCTGGTACGCCAGGCGGTTGAGCTAGAAACATTTGAAATACATTTAATATTTTTATATTGAAAGAGCAAAACAAAGAATACAAGTAAACAAAATTTCATGAGTACGATATTTTCTATGATATGGAATATCGAGATACATTTACCAGTCCCCATATTATGTAGGTACCCAACGATTATCTCCTTCAATAATTTGAAAATGTAAGTGATAACCCCGTTAATTATGATGGAATTGCTGACAGTTAAAAGGACTAATTTGTCAGCTAAGTAAGCTCGTGAGATCATAGCAAATTTTTCAATACCAAGAGACCAAGCTACGGCAAATCTTCAGTGAACTTACTGCAAATAATTTGCGTAGAGCACACTTGAAGCGTTTCCGGATGGCCTGCTGCATTGATGATGTCGGTGCGGAAAACCATGCGGCACCTAGTCGACTTCTTCTTGCCTCGAGATATGTGAGCTCCTGTCGAACTTGCCGTCGCACCTCCTAGGGTTTCGCCAAATCTGTGTTCCACGTCCACATTCCGTTCCTGTAAAGTTGCACAACATTTAAATTATAATAATCTTTCATTTCGACTAGTTATGAAAGCCCAGGTACCAGGACAATTGAATTTCAGTAAACATATTGTGGTGTTATCTACATCCTTTAAGTTCAGTAAGCTTTGCACAATGCAGAAAAGAACGTTTTTTAATATATGAGGGTCATAGACGATTCGTCAGCGGACTGTCAACCGTACTTAGGAAAAGTCAGCATCCCGACTTTTGCGATTATATTTTGCAGTCCTGAATTCAATTTCTGATCTGAGTGAATTTTATTGGAGTTTTACTGTCAGTCAATTTTCCATAGCAGGATGGAGTCTGGAAGCGTATACGGTAGACGGCAATAGTGTCTGATAACGTTTGGTTAACCAAAAATGCGGCTGGTGAGATTTAGACATATATTACAGCTCGGCAACAATTTTTTTCCTAAAACAATTCCCAAAACAGTTTCTGCCCGCATTAGGAATATATCCTGTGTCGCGGGGAACTTTACAAACATATATGAAACGGACACAAAGAACACCCAGACTCAGAACAACAATTTGTGGATCACACAAAGTGTCGTCCCATGTGGGGATCGGACCCACAACACTCAGCGTAGTAGTAAGCGGCGAGGTGACCGCTTAAACCACTACGCCATCCGTGCAGTTGAACTAAATACAGTACGTGAGATGTGTTAAGTATGTGAAATTTATTATTACCTTAAGGATGCCAACGCAATCGCAGGTCACCTGCCAGTTCTTGGCAGGCTCGAGGTCTATCTCTATAATGACGGTTCCGTCCTCCTTACGCTCCTTGCAGGGCGTGGAGTTCTTGCCAGAGACACGGCAAGCTTGATAAAACATATGAGGTGCCACCCGCCCTGTATCGGTACCTATATATACCTAAGCAAAACACAATGTTTACATATTTTTTGAGAACTATTTGACGAACTCTAATTGTATCAAAAACATTTTAGGGGAATAAAAAAGAAAGAAACCTTTTTTTTTTAATGAAATACGTACGACGACAATAGTCTAGAACACGAAATTTGCTATTTTCTTGAAAACCTGATATTATTACAATAGTTGATATTTGGATATTTATATTATATATGGTATGGACTACATAGCAGTATTGTTTACCTGGAGGAGCGCTGGTTTATCGTAACCAATTAATTTGACTATTGGGAATCCATTCCCGGAGTTGTCTTTCACAGCACCTCGGCTGCCTTCAGTCTGATATCTGAAATAGTAAAGTATCGTAGTTTTACATCTATGTGGTGACTCTACATCTGTGCTATTTAATGTTAAATATTTGCATAATTTAGTACTTGTGGGATTTGTTTTAGCACGTACCTCGCTCTATGTTGTGTCTCGGGCTGGCACAGTATCTGTAGCTCCATTGTACCATCCCTCGATCTGCATGACAAGGGTGCCGCTAAACCTGGCCTTCCACCTTGCGCCATTGCTGCTAAAGCCCTTCGCCTTGCCATTGTTTGTGCCAGCTTTCCTCCGTATTTGCCGCTTAATTTGCCACCTATTTTCCCTCCAGAACCAACGAGTTTTCCTCCGGGGTATTTGTTAGCAACTTTCCCTCCGTTCCCTAATTTTCCACACGATCTGTAGGGGTCTTGGAACCTTCTTCCAGGCGTTTCTACTATGTTTGGACTAGATATACTGCAACCAGCTCTCATTCTGTAATCAATTAATGACACTATAGATTTAATACAATAAAATTTGGATAATGTTTGATAAAACGCCTGATTGTTTAAAAACAAGAGAATTAAAGCTGATTTTAGGCTTATAAAATGTAATAATGAACACTAAGCGACATTAGCATTTGTAAGTAACCATCAGTGCGGTACACGTGTATATACATGTACGATGCAGTACAATTACATGCGGTTATCATGCACGGTGTGATATGTATTGTTGTTGCTATTTCTAGTATCAGCACCATCACGTTTATCATGGACACCCTGGAGTCCCCAGGAACTCAAGCAAATCAGGAACCATTTTTTGTTAAAACTCTTTAAATTTAGAATCTGAACTCACGACACTTCCTACCTGTGTAGCTCGATATTATCTAACAAAAATCAACATACACGGAAACGGGAATGGATGATGCCGTAGAGTCGGGCGGAGTGGGCGCGGGGGCGCACGCGGTCTCAGCCGTGCCCGCTGCGCCTGTGGGGAACGCGTACGCATCGTTGGCGTCGTCGCATTCAACCTTAACCGCAGCCTCGGTATCTCCGCGTCGCCGTTTCGAGTCTTGGTGTTCCCACTCCTCCAAAGTGTCCGACAATCTGCAGATGCCATCAGGCTTTAGTTAAATTTTGAAGTTATGCCAACATGACTGCTGTTTGTTCGCAGTTGACTTTAGGCCATGTTCTGACATTCTGCCGTTGAGAGGTTATTCCTCACACAACGCTATTACGTATGAATATGAAGACAGAGATCAAATGAATCAATGTAGGCTGATAAATGAGCGAACAACTCAATTCCAATACCTTTCTTTCGCAAAACAATAATATTCTATAAGCGCCGTCGGAGAAGCAAGTGAATCGTACAAAGTTTAGTAGGCACAGATAAAACAACGACTTATCATATCTTTAAGTGATTGAGATCTCAAAAGAAAAGTGTTTATTGCCATTGTTATAGTAACGTATTTGCTAAGCGATTAAGTATTAAATTGTCGGCGGCCCACGTGCATTGAAGCGTGCCAAAAATATACATCAGAGCATATGGTAGCAGTGCGTTTGCGATCTCACGAATGAATCCAAAGTATAAATTGTATAACGTAATAGAAATATCTCTATAAAAGTCTCGTTAAGATGATTAAAATAAATTGAGTCTTTGTCCAATCTAAGAGTATCACCGCCTTCAATTATTATCAGTATTATTCAGTATTCTGTCTCTTTTGATTGATCTATAATTAAATGTATATTTAGTTACAGAAAGTAGTTTAGCTAAACAATGGTATGGCGATATTTTGCATAACTGCCGAGAAAAATTTTAAAACTTTTATCAGTGGTCCGTGAAGGACACTATTTTGTGTTTAAAATGTGGATACTGATTTAAAAACTTCTAGTATTTGTTATTAAATATAGTTAATCTATCCGAAAAGCTTTTTATTAGTAAGTATTATTATGTAGTTTAAGATGTTACTTTCTAAGATTTCCACCATTGCATTGAGGAGGTTAAATTTAATACACCAAAATCAAATTAGGCATTGCATATTAAAAAAATAATATTTTTTAATATTCCTATTTTATATAAGTTTGTAATTCAGTTTTTTTTTAACTACTTTTGAAATTTGACGCGATCACGTTATTGATATTACGTCCATTTGAATTACCTATGGTTTCGACCTGGGCCTCAACTCTGCTATTCTAATATTTTATCAATAGACTGTGCATGGAATGTCGTTGGAATAGTTTTGCACTTTTCGTATTCTACTAACTATGCAAGACCAATGCCCTTTTTTACTTATTCAAATTCAGAGAAAAGAAACCGCAGGATTTGAGATTGATTACCTAACAACAAAGCTTGAAGAAATTCTCAATAAAAGGTTGTCCTTTTTCTTTTTTTAATAGAAATAATAGTAACTCATTAAGTCATTACTATCTAGAAACTTAGAAAAAAAACATTGCGTTTTGTAATAAAGAAATCAATTTTTTTTCAACGTATTACGATTTTCTAGAAGACAATTTTAATCATTTTTATCAAAACAATTAAACAAGGTGTAATTGGTCGCCGTACGTTTTAATACAATCCATCAGATGAGTGCACTGTTGATCATAAACTCTATTGAGCGGTTGGAGTGCGATTTAATAACAAATATACTCACTAACTTTTACTATTACAACATTAAATCGGTATTAGAATTCTCTTCGCATTTATTTGTAACCGAAACCTATAATTTTTGCATTATTTAGTAGATCTTTATCTAGTTCGCGATAAAATAATTTATAGTTGGATAAGGACGTGACCGTACGCGCAGAACGTGAGTATGCGCATCGATGACATGAAGGTTGAATGTTAAGAATTCGCGTAACATGTAACTATAAAATAATATGACGACATTATTGTAGATGTCACGCTAGGCTTACTATGCGTTTTTGCTAGGTGGTGACGCGCAACTACAAAGTGCTATCTTTTTTTGTTCCGGTCAAGTGCGTTCAACACAAATGAAAGAACGAAATACCGCCACCTGTTGTAACGCCTCGGCGCAATATTATGCCTCAGTGATTTTTGCCGCCAAGCAAAGCTCATAGTGCGCTTCTACCTTTTTTTTATGGGAGAGGGTTTAGAGCAAATTTAAACTGCTAAAATAACCGTCAGTTGAACATAAAATGAAGTTTTAACTATTGGTTAAGTATTTTTTTACACCCGAAGAATAATTATTTTAATTATTGTAAAGCTGATGTTATGAGCAATTGTTTGATTTTAGACGCATCATTTTAGACATTTTCAATATTTCAGATTATTTCAGATATTCGGTGTCTATACAGTAATAAATTCTGTTTATTTTTACCTGACTAAGCCACAAGGAGGTTTATGTTTTACGGAGTACATATTTATATCTCTTTCTGGATTTTGGGTTTGAGGTGTCGTTAGATTCGTTTTAATTGTTTGAGTGAAACACTGGGTATATTTTTTATAAAAAATTAAAAATTAAAATCGTCGGTTTGTAAATTGTAAACACACATTTTCACGCAGTCGGGCTTTGTTTATTTTTTTTATTAGCTTCTTTTAAGTATTAATGTTAATAAGGACGTCGGTATTTCTCGTAACCCGAGGAATGGTATTCTCCTGAACAAGGGATATGAGGACTGAAATGGCGAGTTTATTTTAAACGTATTTAATCAGTCGTTAGTTTAGGTGTACATTTTCTTAAAAAAAATATTTATTTAACTCTTGATTTGCACACATTTTACAAGTATTATGGTACATAAAAATTTCAGACATTTAATGTACAAAGGTAATCTCATTACAATTAAAGTAATATATTATTTAAGTTTGTTGATCGTTAATAAAATGTAAGTTAGGGAATCTATTTTGGGTAACTATACTGCTCGCAAATTATTATACATTCTCAAAAAAAAGAATTGTCAATTTTTTTTTTAATTCTTTTAGAGACTTTTTATTCTAAACTACATTTAAGCAAGGAAAAGGAAAGAAACTTGAGTTTAAGCATGCAGGTTGAGCGAGTTTTCCTTGTCTTTATTTTATTATCGTTAGAGATTTACTATTACATATTTTTATACTTTGGACTTCAAAAGAAAGAAGAAAGAGAACATCCCTATGTAATGGCACTACTGTATATTGTTTAATTAAATCAACATTAGTATATTTAAGACAAACATATCAATGATATCAGTTGCCAACCTCTAAAGTGCGGTGCCCTTAAAAGCTAATTAAACATTGCATCACAAAGCGAGTGCTGTTAGCGAACGCCAACCCTTACCTGTTTACTGCATCAGGCCCTAGGCCACTGTCGTTACTATTCTCACAAGGTTCCGGCGGCCTCAAAGAGTGACTGTGGGCGTAGTGAGTTAGTTTTCCTAATTTGCCTAAGTGGGTCAATTTGCCGGGGTGGTGTACCATTTTGCCAGGGTGCTGCGCTTTACCCGGGTGAGCGCGTTTATGCGGCGCTCGCATTACTTTCCGATGAACACGAGCGCTCATTGTAGCTGTCGTGGACATAGTCATTTTCATGCCTGTCGACAAACAGAAAATAAAAATTTGTTAATTTTATTCCAATTTTTATTTACTATTGTAAAATGGCAGTTCTTGTGTAAATAAATATTTAGACAGAGTTAAATATTATTAGCGAAACAAATTTCATGATGTTGCGTACGGTCAGAATATTCTGAAATTAATGTGACACGCTTTATGTAAATAAAAAAATATTTTTATTAATCTTATTATTACATTTATGTACATATAGATTACATTTTTAAATATATATCAAAGGAGAAAAATACATATTCAAAATATAAAAATAGTAGACCACTCGGGTACGGGGACCAAGGTGGTTAGGGCCCCAAGGACAGGAACCTCCACATTATATGGGCCGTGCCAAGGAGAACTGCCTTCTGCATAAACTCTTGATCCAGCCGTCTAACGTGAGCTTCGGTTTAAAGGTTTTGGTTGAAACTGTTGGCTATCAATCAGCGAACGGGTACGATTATCGGAACAATTTTCACCGAATCCACCTTCCACATATCGACAATCTAGATCAATCCATATAATTTTTTTGTTTTTTCTTTTCAACTCTTCGCTCCAATCCGTTTATCACCGCAGTATCAAGCTTATTGGCGAAACTAGTGCTGTATTTTGATAATAGATCGATCCCAATACAATGTGGCCCGACCGCTCTTAAAAACTGGGTCGGGCACATACCTTGTTATCTCTGAATTCCCAAGTTTGTATTTAAGGGTAAGCTGTTGCTGTGTGTGTGCTGTGCTACTTAGTCGTGCCTGTGCAATTATTCAGCGTTAGCAAGATGAGAACAACCTAAAATAATATGCATGGTGGATTCCCCCGGAGATGGTGGCATACCCGACTATGGACTCCGTTATGGACATGTACCTTTACCTTCCCACCCGTTTTCAATAACTAAATTTTACTGTTAACAATGGGTTCTCAAAGAACCTATTGTTTTACCACCATTAAATACTTCTGTGTGAACTTTTTGATTAAAATTTGTTTAAGGATTATACCACCAAAATTTCGGAAGCTCAACGGAGTTTTTTATCGCCTACATATATGTATGACAAATTTTATATAGCTCGAATACATTCATGAATGCACAGGCTAAGTGAATCACGGTGCAAATTGGGACTTAAGGAGATGCCTAAGTAAATCTTTTCTATTACGTTACTTAAAATAATTTGACATTAATGTACCTACAACAGAATTCCATAATTAAATTTGACATAATTTATAATATCGGAAGTAAATACTTGTAATTCCGAAGAGTTATGGCAGTGAGTCACAAGACAGTTTTCAGAGATCGCAATCACTATTTTATGGACCAAATGCCATAACACGTCCAGTCGTAAAGTAAACGCGACTACGAATACATAAAATAGTGAGGCGTCGATCGTTAATATTATTTCGCAATTTACACTTGAGACTATGTTTGGAATGGTGCTGAACAGTAACACTAATCCTGAATATTTTTATACAAGGTCAACGGATTTCAAGGTATAAGGCACATGGTGTGCACTTGTCGCTACGCTAGTTTTACAACAAAGGTTGCACTTGGAATAAATTTTAGCATGGGTTTCTCTCCATAGGTTTAAGACCTAGATCCTCCTTGTCATGAACTTATTCCTGGCACTTAAATATTAAAAGTTGAGAGGGTCACAAGGACAGCATGATGAGAATCGAGTCGCACAAAACAATAAAGTCAGTTTAATTGTAGACAACCAATTTACCTTATTAAGTACTTATTTTATTGAGGCCAAACTTCTAAAGGCTCATTATAACGTTAAATGTATGTAACGACACTTGTACAGTCCCTATGTGTCCTAGTGTGAGGCAATATTGCTAATAAGTCTATGTTTATATCATCACGCTATGACCTATGGGAGCGGAGTTTTATTACACAAGTAGTTTTAGTACAAGATGACTTTAACGCGGCTGTTATAACGATATATTTGAAACATTTTTAAGTTTTCCTTATACTCGTATCTGTTTTGAAAGCTGAAGAGCAATTGGCGTTTGGCATCAAATTTTTACGCTATTCTTGCCCAATATATAGTATAGACAAACAATAAAATACTAAAACATGAACCCGATGTCTACATTGTTCAACACGTAGATAGTTAAGAAGTGATTTATAGGAAAGTAGTAAATATATAATATACTAGCTGAGACCCGCGGTGGTACCCGCGTTTGTTGTTATAACCGCGGGCAACGCCGCGGGGCGAAGCTAGTCTAAAAAAAGTAGCCTAAGTTACTCCTTATATCACCAGCTATCTGCCAGTGAAAGTCCCGTCGAAATCGGTCCAGCCGTTTCAGAGATTACCCGGAACAAACAGATAGACAGACAGACAAAAATTGAAAAAAATGTTATTTTGGCATATGTACCGTGTAAACATACATATGCATTTAGTAAAAAGCGGTTATTTTAATATTACAAACAGACACTCCAATTTTATTTATTTGTATAGATATAGATAAGCAACTACGGCCATAATCGTTTTCAGCTAAGAGTAATAGCCAAAGTCCATAAAACTAATATATTCAGGCAGTAAAGACGCTCAGATTAATAACTGTTGCTGTTTTGTTTTAGGGTGTTGTACTAAGTGTCGGTTATGGCGTTGTTAACAGCCTATTATGAACATTTCATTTAGATATAGACGACCGGATGGCGTAGTGGTTTGTGTAACGGACTGCTATTCTAAAGGTCGCGGGTTCGATTCCCGCTCAAGTCAAACATTTGTGTGCATGAACTTGTAATGTTTGATTTGGCCTGGGTATTTCTATGTATAATACGTATGTATTTACAAAAAAAAGAAGTATATGTATATGTATTTATATCAGTTGTCTAGTACCCATAGTACAAGCTCTGCTTAGTTTGGGACAAGATGGCACTGTGTGTATGTGGTAGAATATTATATTATTATTATTAGATATATAAGCCCGAACTAATAATTCAAGAAACAAATTACAGCGTTCTTTTTTGTCTTATTTTGGGCGCCATTTGACAAAACAGAGATTGTTGCTATTGTGCGTGTTGAGAGTTAGAGTCTACTTTAGAGTCTACGTAGAGGCGTACGTCTGTAGCGTAGTCATAAGAGACTATGGGGAACCATTTTTTATGAAATAAAGATATTTTCAGTTTGAAACGATGAGACGGGTCACCTGATGGTAAGTGACAACCACCGACACATCACCACCACCTTTACGCGCCCCCTATTCACAGATTTAGGGTAGAAGAGGGGGCGGACCCTGGCTTATCTGGTAAACTCACTCAATCGGTGAAAAGCACCGAAAGAATTTCGAAATAAAATTTAGCTAATTAATTTATTGGAATACGCTATAGCCTATAGGCCTTAATTACCTTGTTTACTAGTTTTAGCATTATACTAGTTTTTTTTTCAATGCAGTTTAATTAACAGTTAGGTTCTTTTGTTGGAGCAAAAACAAAAATATACATCTAGATCGTTACAAGTATATAATTGTGTTGTTTAGCACGAACTGCACCTACGTAACAAAACGGGCTCAGTGTTGCCCTAAATTACTTGATAATTAAATATGTAGGTAGTTTATTTTAAATTTACATAATTGCATTTACTAAATCATACAAAATTCTTGCGTAAACAAACGTAGACAGGGTATGGTCCAATGTTACTACGCTATACCAATGTTACCCAAGAAGATTGTATTTGTATAAAACAGTTAGTGGCTTCGAGCTTAAGATTACACAACACTTTTATACCATTTGTAACTAACATTCAAAAAGCAAAAATCCATTTAATTAATTTCGTGAGAATATGGGAACCTTTCAAGAAAACACGTTCGTTAAGGGCAACTATGTTTAATTGGCGTATCAGAATGTCAAAGAACGATAGAATACCAACCGAAAAAAAAAATTGTACATTACGTAGCTACGCTATTGTAGTAAGCTACAATACTGTAGCTACGTAATGTACATTTTTTTTTGTAAAATTGAATTAAGGCGTTTAATGCACAATGCCAATATGACTTATGACACACGAGATCTATATAAAAATTCTTTCTAAATTCACAGGAAATAATAAATTTGGGCAGTAAAACTCGACCTTGTGTCCACTCGTATCAAATCGGCCATCTGCAGCGTCGATTTTATTTTGACTTATGTTTAAGTACATATTGAGTTCACGACTCGATTGGACTTGTTACTAACTAACTTAAAAAAGCTTATGACAGCTGCTATTTGTCTTTAGTAATCGAAATATCATAACAATTTTTATCTTATACCAAAAAAATTTATTTTCTTTTATTAAATTGATTATAAGGATTGATTTTGACACTTGTAGCTCTATGAAATTGAAAAAAAAAATAGTAGGGTAGGAATGTAGTACCGGTAGTACTTCCACTTATTATGATAATAAGTATCCAGCTATCCTTTGACAATTCTCCAGCTGTAATGTGCAGCGTAACCATCATGCTGAAACTACATGCCGTGTACAAGTGGTAAATCATCGGGAAGTTAGTTAAATTTTGTACCTAAAAACTTTTCGTACTTGTACCGGCGTATATATTGTATTGATAGATATATATATTTTCACAGCAAACTACACATTCCACCGTGAGAGTTCTAGGTCAACAATATTGGTTGAAGTTGTTGGATCCAATCTAAATCGTCGAACTAACGACACGTGATCGAACCAGATCATATCGTCGTCTTAAAACAGAGCTGGTCTCTCTGTCTTGTCGATGGACTTTGTCCAACACAATAACCATAATTCATACACGAACTTCTGCAAATACGCATTGGTAGTGTCCATATAAAATCAATTTATCAAAATATTCCTCATTCGTATAGATCACAGAAGTACAAATCAACTCCAGTCAGCAATAGTTACTCACGAACAGAACAAGAAACATTCCAAAAGAGAACAAAAAAGTTTTTTTACTAGGTGCTACCGGGTTGTCCCTACGTTAATTCTTATTTTATTGTTAACTACAATTTCGGTAATAAAAATTATGAAACG